AATCGTTCCGGGGCGAAGAAAGAGCGGATTCTTTAGCTGTTGCGCTGCTGGCGCTGCGACCCCAAAAGAGGTATTTGTGGCATCGCATGCGTTTTAAGAAACTTCCGAGATGATTCCTACAACGCAGTGTCCATCCTCCAACCATCCTTAGAGGGCAAAAAGCTAACCGCCATCAGGGACGAGAAGAGGATGCCTACAACGCATAGATTGAGATTGTTCACTACAGTAAGATAAAGGAGCTAGAGCTTTTCCATCATACTTAACAACAACATTTTGGCTCAAGGCTCCGTCCTTGTTGCCCGTTACCTACCAACAGAGAGACCCAACCGCATAGTTAATGCCTAGGATCGACTGTTCTGGTACACGTATGGCTGCGCTCAACAAATCAATCCATCAATCAATCAATCAAATCATCAATATCAAGATCTTCCCCGAGCGGTTGGGTCTATAATGGGGCTAGTTTCATTAGGTCGGGCGCGACTTGTTCTAGCTGATTACGATCCCAAAGAGATACTTGAAAAGCGCAAAAATTGAGATGAATAAGAGGAGAAAAGCTAAGGCAACACGTCGTACACATAAACCAGCATTAGAATAGCAAACAAAATGAAGGAAATGCGCGCCTGCAGCTAAAAAGGAAGAAAACTACGCGAATCCAAACCGAGAAAAGGCGACAAGGCGGGGCGAGAGTGGTCTTTTTTGCGATTGGAATGGGCATCCATTGCGCGCAAAGGCTGGGGCGTCCTCGTTTGGCCCAGATGCCCTACCTGCCGAGAACGCTGAGGATGCTATCGAAGGGCGGAAACGTGATGAGGGATGCCGAAAAATGACATAAAGACAAAGGAAAGAACACAAAAAGAGAGGGAAAAAATGAAAGAGAAAAGGGAAGGAAAGAGCATTTCCAACTTATCAGGAATGATATAAAACAATTTGTCGTGCTGCGACATAAAACACAACTTGCATCACCTCGCGCTAGGCACATTCATTCATTCATTCACTACCAGTACGAACACTAGCTAAATGACAACTACTGAGCAGGGTACTTTTTGAAACTACTAACACAGACTACTTTCATCAAAAAATCACGACATATACCACAATACCTACAACTTAAATGCATACTACAACATCTTGGTCTCCTTGGGTGGTTTATTATTTCAACACTGTAATCGTAGCAAGTGTGCCTGATTTTCTAGAAAAATATGTACAACAAATTGGACCAAAAACACCTAGTTTAAAGCTGCTGCCTATCCCATCGATGGGTACACTTCAATGAATGCTATCATGTACCAGAATACGTTGGTCGTTGACATTGCGAAAGGGATTCGATTACTTCTTATAAACGAGGATTACTGGTGACTCAATCCGAAAGTTTATGTCATGTTACAGAAGTTGGATATCAGATAGTCGCCGCCTTACTACAATTGGCCACTCGGATGCAGATCCCAAGGATGTGCAGAAGTAAGGTTGAGAGTTAGGTTTTACATACGGATTAAATGGATCTGCATCCTCTATGATTCGGTGATCTTAGTCTTCGTGTACTCGGGATACAAGCTGCATGGCGTCACCTTCTGTAGCAAGAGGAGAGAGTGTGGAGAGCTGAGAAAAATTTTATTTGGGAGGCATACAGAGGTCTACCTTTTCTAGAGTTCAGGGTTATCAGGCATAGACGAAGGTTATCAGGCATAGACGAAGACATTCGGTGACTACAAATCTGATACGATGTGGTGGTGGTCCGTTATCGGTCTTGTACTAGGTAAAATTGAAGGTGACAAGACGATCATCATGTCTGAAGACAAGGCGATCCCGAGGGAGACGCTGTATGAGAAGGCCATTCTCCGAGGCAGCAGCGAGCGGTCTGAGAAATTCCTCTAGAATCTTACATAGAAGTAAATTTTGCTTTTGCTTGAAGAAGACGTGGTTAAAAAAAAACGAGGATGCTTAGCTAGCACGAAAAGCATCTGTTCCAAGTATTACAACGCAGGAAATAGTTCACTTTTTTTTTTGTGCTCGTCGTGACTGAGTGAATTATACAAAAGTAACACGACAATGTGGACAAATGTGTGTCTTTCCTTTTCGTCACATAACCATGCCCATTTGGAGCGGCCGTGGTAAAAGTATGCAACGACATCATTGCTTGTTGTAAAAAGACGAGGTGGAGAGAATGCCATTTTTTGCATCAGGTATTTCGATCACCGCTGATGCAGTGCCACTTTTTGCATCTGGTATTTAGATCACCGCTGATGCAGTAGTTGGGTTAGGCTAGGCGTGTGCGTTTTACTTGTTAGGTACATGATTCTACAAGATCTGAAAGTCTTCCCACTTGTCCTCATCGTGACGTCCCGTCTCTTTTTTTAATTCTTCTAAGTGTACTAAGTAGGTACAACTGTGCTACTGAAAATTATACATCATCAAATAACTCAAGAAACATTCATACAACGAAAACAGCCAACCGTGAGATTTTTTTATTCGCCTATTGTTTTTGGTGTGCAGTATGCGGAGGCAGTATCTACGCGTTCGCGGGCCTAAGCGAGGCGCTAAAGGCAAGATGCGAGAACTGGAGTCCTGCGCAGACGAATCTGCTGTACACCTTTGGACAACTAGGGAACAGCGGACTGGGACTCCTCGTTGCGCTCATATTCAAATACAGCGGTCGCGGACCACGGAATTTTAAGGTCGTATTGAAGTCGTGTTTCGTTGAATCGGTTTGCTTACAGTAAGCATAGATGAAGATCCATTCTAATCATGATAACCGAGTTACTGACTGAAATGAAGATCATGAAGTCCCAATCTATATTAAAAGGGAAGTTTCCCAGGGATTAATTATACATAGGACGGGCACCACTAGGAAGGCTGCCACCTCCAGGGATTAATTTTTATACATACAATTGATTTTCTTTCTTTTCGTGTTAGTTCCTAGTTAACAAGGCTCCACTGGTTAGAGGCTCCATTGGAACTAATGGCTTCGTATCTCGTCGAGTACTTCCGCTAAGGTTCGCATGCTCTACGCTGTGGCTATGGTGCTCACTGGGACGTGCCTGCTGCTAACGGGAATAAGGTGCGTCGGGCCAGGAGTCGTGGCAATAAATCTGAGCCATCGAGGACGAGCAGGCCACTATGTTGACAGTAGTCAATATGACAGGACTGGAGCATTAGCTGCTGAACTAGCAAGTGGTGCAAGAAGCGGTGGAGACGGAGATGAGGAGGATCTGGGAGGTGTAGAAGATGGAGGTCGTGCATCAAGTTCAAGGGGTAAGGGAGGTACAGGTAAAAAGGATACAGACAGAAGTAAAACTAACACAGGAGCTTCCTCAACATGGCTATGGACGTCAAGCGAAGAGACACAGGGTCGTGACGAAGGGATATCTCAAGATAGCAAACAAGATACCAAGACGACTTCAAGGAAACAGATAGCTTCCTACCCAACACTCCTTGGAGACCTTGCGCAGGAAACAAAACTCATTTTTGCGGCAGAAAATAGCGATGGAAATATAGCATCATCTTCGTCAGAGGAAGGAGAAGGAGATGAAGAGGCCGTGTCTGTAGATGATAGCGTGTCATTGGATTTACGATCTTTGGTGGAAACCAGTCAGTTTTTTGTGATCTGCAGGAAATAAAAGCGTAATATTTGGTCGTTCATGTCTTTAAGCACAGCCTTCATATGACTTATGCTTTAATATTCTTCATTCACTCACATCGTGAAGTCTACCTCTAACATTCGAGCATGATTGAGATTGAGTCAACATGCCAGGCGTATCCCATCATTTAGATTTTTCTAATTCCCGAGCACGAGTCTTGTCAGTGTCCGGAGACTTCTATCCTTGCAGCAATTGGTTACTTCATGATCCAGCAAGGTGGCTGCGCGATCTATCAGAGTGGGCTATTTTACCTCCTGGGTCGCGCAAGCCCTAGCAGAGCGGCCATTCTGTCAGGATTGATAACGAGTGGTATTGTGATTTAAGTCTCAGAGGCTGATAGTAGTAGTATCTCTTCTATCTCTTTAAGTCTCAGAGACTGATAGGATTGATAACGAGTGATATCGGAACTGGTTGTGATTTATGTATTTAAGAAAGTCTCAGAGATTGTGGTTTTGTTTGATCATTTCTACCGAACAAATAGGAATACTTGTCTCTGTCTTCTCTCATCCTAAACTTGAGAATTATATCCTCCCAGATTACCACTCATTTAAGGACATCTATAATCATCAATCAATTTATCATAGGTAACGGTCTTTCCGCTTTTGTGTGGTCCTTGTATTTCAATATCGTGTGCGCGAGGGGAGCTATTATTAAGGATTTCCGAACAATGGCATCCCTCGCTACCATCCCTAGCGCTTTTCCCAGTAGAAAAGAAGCCAGGAATGTTCTGAGGAAAGTAATTCCGTAACCTCTAATATTATTTTTTTCACTAGTAGTGGTGTCCTATGGACAGTGACGGCATTGCTAGGGTTAAGGCTGGAGATGATTTGTCTTTGAGTGCATCCCCGACGCGTATGGTTGAGCGTCTTTCCCTTGGTACTGGTACGCGTCAAGGATACAACAACTGAATAAAGATGAATCATGAAGAGGTCGTCTAATAGGGGCCTTTTGTGTGCTGAGCGGTGACGTGGAGCCTGGTCGTCATAGCAATCAACAGTTAGAGGACGCAGACGATTCCATACGCTTAGACGATGAGGATGCGAGGATAGAAATAATCGATCGGTCCGAACTTACAACTGGTGGATCGGATTAAGGCTACAACACGTGAGCATGACTGTATCTACAACCCAGTAAGTTGTGTCAGGGACGATACAACACCTCGCTGTATCCACCTGTACTTAGTAAGTTGTGTCGGGGACGATACTAATGACTGCACAGAAATCTTTGAGCAGTAGTTAACAGTGCTGGATACGAGTGACTGTACTAAGCAATATGATGATTGAATGAAGCTCGTAGCAGAAGAAGACTCTACTGCAGTTGACGCTTGTTGTGTCAGGGCTACAAATGACTATGTATCACATATGTAGCTAGTTGACACGGGGGTCACACCCCCGTCTCTGATTTACTGATAGCTAAGATGTTGAACAAGGATGTGACACCAAAGAGCTCAACACAATGGATACCATTATACAACCAGTAAGAGTCTCTCTCTCTCTTATCCTATTGTCTAATCGTACATCTTCAAGGGGGACAACTTATAACTATTATTGTCTTATAACTATTATTTTTTCGGTTTTTGTTTTTTCTAGTTAGATATGCTCCACCAACATTATTGTCTAATACCAAGCGGAAGACGAAGATACTCTGGGACAAATCAATACTGACGGCGAGAGGAAAGCATTTTCCATAGCTGAGGATAACATCGAAGGTACGCATCTGCCTACTATCAACGGCAAAGACGGTAGTAGGTCGAGCTTCCCCTTGCGCGATGACCGAACAGAGCTCTTGTTGCCACCTTCGGAGTTGTCGCCACAACTAGGCACGAGTACGCCACGACAGCTAGGCACGAGTACAGACGACGAACTAGGAATATGGTCAGGCTTTATAATCTATCTGGATCTTGGTCCTTCATCGCAGCGTCTCGTCTTCGGTATCCTTTTGTTCCTATAGATACTAGAATCAGGCAGCGAGAGTTGTCACGTGATTCGCAAATGAATGAATGAATGACTTAGATCCATGCGTAGAAAAGGAGCGTAGGCTCAAAAAATACGGCAAAAAGGGCTTGGATGAGGGGACTGAGGTGAGTCGATCAAGACTGAAGAGTCTAAGACTAGGGAAAACGCAGCGCTCTAGACCAGACACGACGGACCAGGAAGGAAGTAGTCCGGAAATGCTGGAGCTACCTAGAACTACAGGGAGCAAGATGCTCCCTATGTTACCTCGATCGACGAACTGGCGCAATCGGCAACGAACAGCGCCGCCAGCATATTTGCGTATGAATGGTAGCTTCAATATTGATTGGTCGTGCAACATTTGGGGAAGTCTTGGCTTTTCTTTGATGCACAAATCACAACGATGAGTTGACATTGACTTGTGGTCGAATTATCATCTCTTGCTCGTACTATCTACTCTTATTTATTCTTGTTGTTCGTACTATGATCTACTCTTATATCTTGTTCGTACTACTTCTTCATGCAGCCTAAGGGGGGAAACGACCGAACGACGCCTTTACTCATAACACCTGTGCCGCCATTGCCTTTATGCAAGAAGAAATGATCACTCTTAGTCCTAATGTTCCAACATTTGTAATTTTTGAACCTTGAACCTCAAAATGCGAAGAAGCTGCCCGGAGGACTTTGGATCGTCGCCTTTTTCACAACGAAGAACTAAAACAGCTGACCTCATCTAATCTGAGAGAGCTTACCACGATCTCTGAGCGATCCAAGTTCTAGACACGAGCATCGGAATCACGTACGACGACGGGCCGCTTCGATGGAGTATTTAGATACTCTTTCTACTTACTTTGTAGAAGAAGAGCTTGATTGGGCGGCTTCGATGGAGTCTAGAGATTTATACGAATGACTTTTGTTAGAAAATCTTGATTAGGCTTTCGACCTTAATCAGTTGACTGATGTGATTGTCTAGTCACAAGAAAGGGCTTCAATTCCCGGGTACCGACCTGCATACCCTACCCTCCCTTCCTACCTTCCTGCCCCCCTTCCTCCCTTCCTCCCTACCTACATTCCTCCCTACCTACATTCCTCCCTACCTACATTCCTTTCTTTTTTACTCCCTTCCTTCCTACCTCCCTACATTCCTCCCTACTTACATTCCTTTCTTTTTTATTCCCTCCTTCCTACCTCCCGACTTACGTTCCTTTCTTTTTTACTTCCTTCCTCCCTTCCAGTTCCTACAACCCCAACGCGAGTGCGTGGGCGCCGTCGTGGAGGACGTCGATGGAGCTGGTGGTGGAGCTGTCGCTGGAACCAAATCTCCTAGTTCGGAAACGAGAAGTCGTACCAAATTTATGGTTTCCGTCATTTTCCGTGATTTTTGTGGTTGCATCATTAGATTCTGCGTGATGACTGAAGAGGGTAGTTTAGAGTCTTCTAACAGAGTTCGAATGCAGTACAAAGCAGATGCTTTCCAGTGTCTGCTTTTGGCTCGTGGCAGCGCAATTTGCGTTGTTACAAGGTGTAGGTAGCGGCTTTTACCTCGCCAACGCAGACACGCTATACGCAGCTTATTCGTGGTTAAGGGCATAACACGTCAGGGAAATCTTGGGCAATCTGCCGTAAAGATTCGCATCGTCAATGGTATAACATGGGAGCGCCTGTTATCTCTCCGTCGATGATGAGCCGACTCCTACCCTATCCTATCCTATTCTAGCAAGAATGCAGTCAGTGAAGAAATATCGTAAAAGAAAGATGACAAAGTATTTTACTCAAATCAGTGTAAGTATGTTGTACTCAAATCAGTAGGCTGTTTTTTACCAGTTCCTTCTAACGAAAGGTGGTAAAGGTGGTACGCTTGCCTCCCTGTTGCAGGTCCAATCACTAGTGAATGCTGGCGCGCGGATTGGATTCGGGTTTTTGATGGACTCCTTGAGACGTGTGTCTTTCCTGCAAGTCGAATTCGCGAGACATCTTCTCTTCACGGCATTGTGTACGCTTTTGTCGCTGATCTTTGTTTAAGGGTCGTTACTATATTGCATTCTTTGAGATGATTTACACTGAATTAAGAGTAGCCATTTCGTGCGTTAAGAGTAGGTCTGTCATCATCCCCATATTTTTCCATCGGGCGTGAAACCTACGTTTTCTAGACCTCGTAGGAAAGGAGTCTTCTAACTTGTACCGCACACTCCGCTGGCTGCTTTCGTTTTTCTTGGTATCGGTTTTGGCGGAGATTGGGCAATTATGCCTGCGATCCTCAGCAGCTGGTATGGACGCGGTAACGTAGCGGTTGGCTTCAATGTGGCCTGTTTTTAAGAGCTAGCTAACAAGGGATCTGCATCTCCTTATAGCAAATTGGCTGCAAGGAAGTACTTAGTTGATGGTCCAAATATTTCATCTAGTTCATCATCTGTCTCCTGCGTGAAGCATACTGGAGTCATGATGATTCAGATTCTCTATGGTCCATGATCTGAAAAATAGATTCTCGGCTGATGAGGGAAGCCTCAACTTGTTTATAGTGTTCATGTGCAGTCTTTGTCAGAATAAGATTCTTCATCTTTGAGATTACGCTGAGTTTCTTGATATTCTAAGGTCTACGCATATGCTTATTTAAATAGTGTTCATGTCTCATCAAGATGCCGTTCGGTCATTTTTTGACACGTAGTGGTCTCCGTCAACATTCTCGTTCTTCCATTTCAAAACTTTGATCTTCTAACATCTAGTGTTCGTGGTGTTGGGCAACGGCTTGGCTTTCCTGTTCGTAGCAGTAGAGAAGCCAGCGGAGGAGTCTGAGGATCCGAATGCGCTTAGGTTTCGTCTAACCGCAGCAGCCGAATGGATGCGCAAGGGTTCCGTGTTACTATGTGTGTTGAGCCTCTTCTTCGGAGCTTGGTTGACCTACCTACGGCCCTGTCGAACTGGTGCTGATGGCCGACTCTCAGTCGTGGATCGATGACGAACTTCTCCTGCTTCTACCTTGATCCACACGACCAGCTGCTACAACCGCTCGCTCGTCCCTATTCGTAGCAGCCTCTACGGTTAGGGACTGTGGATGTTGTTTCCAAGTAGAAGATTGTCCTCTTCATTTTGGAAAAAAAAATTCTTTCATCAGCGAATCCCGTGTCTGCCGACTCTCAATTCTCGCCGGTGCGAATGATCGAAGTCCAGTTGCTGGCGGCGCGAGATCCTAGGTGGTCGTGGTGGATATGAGCTTCAACACCTAGATGTGCATCGGACTAGAAGATAGAGATGATACAACTAGTATCTACCACCTATAATTGTGATCGAGGACTTCATTCTCGTTCTTGTAGTTGTACCCAATTATAAATATTCTTTATGTCTCCAACATAACAGGTAGGTCTAACGGTATTTTTCCCTCCATATCATCTGAATGAGCAGGACAAGTGTATGAAGAGTTGGCTCAAAACTGTCACGTTTCAACTCTTTCAACGAAAGACCTTTTATCACGAAATGACTACAATAGGAGCACACCCATGACAGAAACTAACGTTCGTTTTCTTCATCGTTTATTTCACTTCTCCGTCTTTTCGCTTTCAGTAAATTTTTTCGCTTTCTGCAACAGCTTTTTGCTTTCACCACGAAGCACTAAGTACTTCTTCGCTTTCGAGTACTTCGCTTTCAGGGATTCCAGTTGAACAATGAACCTTTGACATTGCTTTCAGGCAAAGAATTCTCGTTCACTCGTCTTCACACCGTAGGGACAATCTTCATCTGGACCACGTCAGGCACGAGTGCACCATCTGGGACAACTAGGACGCCTCTCTATACCCTACAAGTTCAACTGGTGATCGCAGATCTTCTTGTCATCGCAGAAGATGTCATGTCAGAAGATGTTGTGGGCAGAGGTTCTGGTCGCACACATCATAAGGATTCTTTATACTTCGACTTCAAGTGGAAGTGAGTGTTCCTCAGAATGTATGAAATAGCGATGATAACAATATACTTACTTAATATGCTCAGTGCTTTGTGACGGTGCCACATCTGAGTTGCACTTTCCTACATATGTAAAAGAGACTTCTCCCACATAAAAAACACTTATGTACTCTCCTTATTACTTGTTCTACTTCTACTTGCTTCTCCTTTATTTTTTGATTTGATAGAAATGTTGGTGAATGAATGAATTGGTACAGGAACAAAAGGAGCTGAAACAAAGTACTTAGAAGTACTTATTATTTCGTACAACTACAACTAAATCCATATGGTCAGTCATCAACATTTTTTGAATTTTTGTACTGCAACTAATGCAACAACTGCCAAGACCAACAAGAAGAACAAGCATGGGCCACGCGGGATCGAGTTTGTTGCTCTTTGTTTGTGGCTTGCTGCCTTGCCTCTCGTCTTTTTGTCTCTTAAGGCTTCCCCTAAGAAGCACTTAACCACCATAAGCATCAATCTTGGGGCTGTTCTATAAGGAAATTGGGTGAGCTCTAAAAACCGGCAGCTTCATCCGCACATTCACGGATTGGAAAGATTTAGTGAGCGCTTTTCCTGGTCAAACTTTTGAGGAAATCGCCACAGGAACGACTGCGATATCTCATTTTATTCGTGAACGGAGCGTGGCGTACGATTAAGGCTCAGACTCAAGTATAATATGATTCTTATCAAGGGTCCGTCGTTTGCCAGTGGTACTAGAGTAGAATGACTTAAGTACTACTAAAGACGTATGGTGATGATGATGAACAAGGGTCTTGCTCGGCAATCTGAAGAAATGAACCGAATAAGTGAATTATGAAGTGTAAATGGTTACTTTTACTTAAAAATCGTATCCGACGTTTTTGGACCTATATACCTACTAGATATTAGGTTCATTATCTAGTTAAACTAGCTAGTTAAGCCAGAGAGGAAGCAATCGGAGGATCCGGAGGTTCTGGACGACTTGGGCCCCACCTCGCAACGGCTGAACCCTGGGAAACAACCTGAGGCGTGGACGTTAGGTGATGGAAATACGCTGGGCAGATTCTTCGGTGTAAAGTCAAGTGCTATGATGTGAATGAAATGCTTATGAACCAAGTGAACCATAGAAATCACCGCGCCAAGTCTGTCGATCTGCTCCTGTTGTTGACGTTTGTTGCATACTTCGGACGTCTTCTTTGTGTGCCTTGTTTTTGCGGAGACCTGCCGAGGGATCTTCTCTGATACTTCTGTCGAGATTCAGTGCCCAAGCACGTTGGTTTGTTTTTTTGGAGAGGATCAAGAAGAAGCTTTTTTTTGAGAGAAAAGCGACGAGATGAGTTGTAGAAGAAAGCTGGCCATTGAAATCAGATCAAAAAACAGCAGGGCACTAGGTAAAGAAGATATCTGAAAGAGATAAAACTCCAACCCTGGGCCCGAAAATAGGCAAGACAAATAGGAAGAAGTAGAAGGTGCTTTTGTGTGTTGATTAACTAACGACCTGCCATAAGGATGGTGAATCTTTTCTCTGTTGTGCCTCAAGCTCATGGCCTCAACGCAAAACAGAAGGCAGCAGATGCCCAGCTGCGATGGACGAACCTACGTCCATACGTGGGCAATCTCAGCGTGAAAGACCTCGACGATGTGCTCGCCTGCATCAAAGAGGCAAAAGCGACTAAGGCTGAAACATATCCGCTTGGCCGTGCAACATATTCGAGTACTTTCATCATCGTGCTTAGTAGATTTCTACTAGCGCTTCGACGATGTAGTCCTGCTGTGAAGGTTGAGGCTGTTGCTAGATTCTTGCACTAAAAACGGTGGCTCACAGTGGTAGAGTTTATTGTATGGCCGAAGTCTTCATCCTGGTTGAATCTTATGCGTAGAGAGTTCTTGTCTCGTGGCAAATGTATCTACTTAGTTGCCATGTCCTTCACCTCTCTATCTTTCTCACCATGAAGAATTCGACTCCATCCCGGTGCATAAGTGGTGGATCTTTTTCGGACGCGCGACGAAGACTGATACCAAGTGGCTGGCTACCTTCTTGAAAACGAAAGACGACTGCATCTCGTTGGCCTACCAGCTTGGTCTCGGATCGGAGGACAAGGTGCTATCCATGTTAGAGCGTTTTAGTGTCTTTGTTGTTCAAGTACTGCTTTCATTCGTATGCTTTAGGCAAATGCTATATAATACTCTCTGGCAAGAGACTTCTACTCCATTTCGCATCATAATCTGACATCTTGGACCCACTACCTTCTCCTACAGCCGGAGCCGGACCCCGATCGTAACGGACAAGCTTCCGAGGTTTCCATTGCCAATCAGATTCAAGGCTTGTGCGATTCGTGTGGTAATGCCTTGGAAATCCTCGAAGAGGAAGAGGAGCGCGTTGTGAATCGGGGAAAGATGCAAGCTAAAGCGAATCAAGAGCTGGCCAAGAGGGAGAAGGCGTTTGTATTGCTACTCTTGTGACTTAAGCTACGTATTCCATCTAGTTCCATTCTCAGAGACAAACACACTAGGAGTTAAGGACAAGCACGTTGTTGCTCTCTCAACCTAATCAGAACCTCAGAAATCTCTCCCATTACCCTCCCATAATCAGCAAGCCGCAGCAGCACCGGTCAGGCCACAGTCGTCCAACGCCATGATGAGTCATCCTCTGCTTCCTATGGCGCAAATGTTCCAGAGCCAGTTCATGGGCAACATGTTCCACATGCCCAATGCCGGCTTCCCTGGCTTTCAAGCTCCGATGATGCATGCCCTGGGAGATGGTACCACTCACAATATGGCATACTGTGAGAAGTCTCGCTCCGTGCGTCGAGCTCCGCGCCCAAGTGAGGCGGAGAATGGAGAGGACCCCGTCGAAGGTGCTAAGGCGTCTCTCTTCGGAAACCGTCGTGGAAATATCATCCGTGGTGGCAAGGCCCATGAGGTGAAGGAGCGTAAGGCCAACATCGTGTCGAATGAATCTGGGCAGTACGCTGGCACCTCGATGTCGAAGAAGGCTACGAAGAAGAATCCCAAAGCCTTTATGCCTTTGCAGCGCGATGGCACAGAGCGTGAACCGAAAGTCCAACAAGAGGTAAAGAAGCCGGCATCTACTAAGCAACCCGCGAAGAAGGAAGCGTCCTCCACTACTACTAAGAAGGCTGCTTCCGCCAGTTCGTCTTCTTCTGCTGCTATTCCGTTGCCGCCTGCGAACTCGTTCGAGAAAGAGCAAGTACTAGAAGAAGAGGAGGAAAGCTCCCCAGAAGTAGCCGCAGATGAGGAAGATGCTAGCATGGACGACGCTGAAGAAGTCATCGAAGATCCCATTGAGCCAGTCGAAGAAGCTGTCGACGAAGAAGAGGAGGAGGAGGAAGAAGCCGACTTCGCTGGTGAAAACTCGCCTGAGTCGTTGCCGTTGAGCGAGGACGCCTTCGAAGTCGAGTAGTGGCGTAGTAGCTCCGCTAGAATATGGCCCGCTCTTCTCCATCAGTGTGCGCTGGGGGATCTCGAAGTAGTCCAGTCGGTAGCAGTGCAGAGTTAGAAACAAGAAAATCCACAGCAGAAGGAGACCAGACGATAGGGATAAGCAGTGCAGTGCGTTTGAATACCAGTAGCAAAGGCAATCTTCAACATTGTGCGTCATCTTCTTCATAGTAGTTCGATAGGGTCTAACCCCTGGCAAACAACATAGCAGAACCGGCATCATTCTCATCAAGAGCGAACTTTTATCGACGACAATTACTACAAATATGTGAGACAGACGGGTGGTGAACAATCTAGGAGATATAAACAAGAAGGGGGTTTTGTATTAATTCAGTGTATAAGAAAGAAGCAGTCAAGTTGATTACCATGAGTTCCCGAATAGTAGGTAAGTACGAAGATGAACAGTCGAGACACATGTGGGCAATCAGTAGGCCACAATAGTAAAACGAATTCCAAGCCGCTGCAGACAATTCAGAAACAAGAGGTGCATCGTGGCAGTATAGTCAGGTTTTGCATAAGTACGGACATCCATATCTTGGGGCGCTTGGTGCATAGTCATACTCTCCAGCAAACTTCGCGATTCTGTCTTTTCTTCGGAGTCTATCTTGATGTCCTTGGGGACGCCAGTGCTCTCCAGCAGATTGCTTCTTTTTTTCTTGAAGATCGGAAAGATACTCAGGCGCCGGACCTCTTTCTTTCTTGTGCTGCTGGCATTGTTCGCCTTTTTTTGCGATCGTAGACCATGAACTGACCAAGGAGTATCTACATCAACTAGGAGCAATTCTTTGACGAATGACGAATCCGCTGGCCCTTAACCTCCGCAGTTTCCCTGCCTTTGCCTCGTAGTAGAGAAAAGCAAGAAGACCCTTCTGCATTTATGTATTCAATCTACACAACAAGAAACGAAAAGTAGACACTTAAGAAAGAATGCCGCCGCTTGCACAGCGGAACCTTGTTGCGCGCAACCCGATGCAGCAAGGAAAGATGAACTTGCGTTTCTTCCTTGACCCGATCACCGCGAAAAATTGGAACCAAACGTACAGAAAGCGCTGGTGGGATGAGCGAACTACCGTTCTTCGCCCTTTTGAATTGGGCTTATCCCATGTCGACAAAGATGCTGCCATTGTATCCGACAACTTTGGCCTCGAGGCGGTGCATAGTTTTGACCTTTATCCAAGTAGGCCCTTTGGTGATTCAGTGGGACCAAAGTGAAAGCTCATGCTCCAGATCTGTTGCATTGTTCGGCAAGATTGGCTCAGTGAGGTATGTAGATTCTTCTTGCCACCTCTGTACTCCTCCTGATATTCACCAACGCAGGTCGTCATGCTGCGTGTTTTGGGCTACAACAATCAGCTGAGGCCTTTGCTCGACCAGTATCTCAAGCGTTTGCGAGTTACTGTGGCGCAGCTCTATGGGAATGATCTGGAGGCAGTTGCAACTGCTTGGGAGAAGAAATATTGCGGCCATGCTGAGGGGACTTCGCGATACTTGCAGCTGGTTCCACTTTATGCGAAGTTGTTGCTGTAGGTAGGTTTTGGCTTGTGTAGTAGGCTGCTGACACTTGACACCGATATGATGACGACAACAACGAAGCTCCACCAAGTAAGCAAATGGCTCTGCTTTTCTACTAGAGTAACAATCTCCTGACGTCTTTGTTGGTCAACTCCTCTCCCCAAGAGATCCCCCTCCTACCGCTCTGCAGATGACCATGTGCCGCCAGCGCCAGAGTGTTGCTTTCTGTTTGGACAAATTGCGTGGTAAGACAAGCATATCTTTCGCCGACCATGTCCCTCGTCTTGCTTGGGCTCGAACGATCAACATCCAGAACGACGGCTCAGTCAAAGGGAAGAGCAAGAAGCTGGCGTCGCAAGTACTATGACTAGATGCTTCTCCACTTCGATGGCAGACGATGAAATGGATTTGACTTGAAGACGTCAACTCTGCTTACGTCTGACTCCGCTTGCGCTGAGGTTATATGATCTAGCATCTCCGTTCTTCTATCGTCTGTAATCTGCATTTGAATTGATCAGGTGTATATCTTGGCGCGCGACCAGACTCGGAAGGACTGGCTTACCTATATGTGCCCGTTGGTTTTGCAGGTGGAGACCCCAAATAAGCCTGGCACACTGCCAGCTCACTGGCAAGCGCAAGAGCGGACGTCGCATGTGCTTCGCATGTTGACACATCTAGGAGGTTCGGACTTGGTGGAGGAAATGATCAACGTGCCAGACTCTGACAACCCCATCTTCTTGGTACTAGATGGAGATCAGGAGGATGTGGAGCAAAGAGCCTCGATCGCAATATGCGAGGTCATGCATTGCATCGCGCGCATTGGTTTGCGCCACCGCCTGAGCGGAAACAGTGGCAAGGACAAAAAGTTCAAGCAGCTCCGTGAGAAAATTCGTAAGCTCACAGGTGGAGTAGTGAGCAAGAAGTCTGTTCGAGGTGCGATGCTGGTTGTGCAGGACGATCTGATCGCGAAGGCTGCAAGGGGTGTACACTTGCGGCACGGACCTCGCATCATGCGTGAAACTGGAAAGTCTGTCGTCGATGCTCTGCGTGAAGATGGTACTCCTTTGATCTAGAATCCAAGGAGCTCCCTTCAAGACTGTCTTTTATTAGTCCAAGCAGCTTGCGCTGTTTGTCTCCTCTTGCTCTGCTGGTTCCATCTGTTCGGATCTCCCTCTGTGTGGGACAGACGCGTAGGCTTTGAGGCATTGGCGCAACTTAGTGACTTCCAAGAGGCAGACGATTACATGTCTTGTTTTCGTCTCCACTCTTCGACTTCATTGGGATCCTTGGATCTTCTCAAGTCTTAATTAATCGTTTCAATTTGAGCCTCTTTCTGTGTCTCCGCATCGACCATTTCTAATGGTGATTAGGCTTCAGAAAGAGGCTCAAATTGAAACGATTACTTAAGGGTCTCGGAACCCTTGTCCGAGAGGGGTCGCCTGAGCCTCTATTTTTAAGTAATCGGCCAGATACTAGTGGGGCAAGATCCCGTTTCTGAACGAAACGCGAACCACCACTAGAGTCTGTGATTTGAAGCGATTACTTAACGAGTTGAAGCCACATCCTCTTATGGTGATTTGAAATGATTACTTAGGGTACTTTGGAGGGGTCTCAGCAAGAGGGTATTTGGTCTCCTCCAGACCTCTCGGACCCTTGGTCCAGATCTTCAAGAAACTACTGATGAGTCTGAACCTTTCAGGCTCAAACTCCCTGAAGATCGTTTTAGATATAAGAGAGTAGTCCTGATATGGAACTCGATATTTCTATACCGCCAGACTTATGAGCTCATGTCTTTTCCTTAATATAACCTCCAGGCGCTCGCGTGGTCAGTATGGTTCGGACTCGTTGGTTTGCGGAAACAATCACAAGCTTTTTCTGGGAGAAGCATGGTGGATTGATCCTCGAAATTTGTCAGGAGTTGGAGACCCGAATCCTGAATGGTTGGGATATTCGCCAGGTGAGTTCCGATGAGAGTGCGTCTCTCCCTACTGATCTGGTCGCTCCTGCTCCAGTGGGTTCTCTTGATCCAGATGATCGCGCGCTCGGAGTAGAGGAGGAGGACTCTGAGCCTGATGAAGATGTGGATCCAGAGAAACTACTTCCTCAACCTGTAGAAATTGGCGACGAAATCATCCGTCCAGAGCTCTTTGACCAAGTTGATTGCGCTGACGCACCGAGCACCAAGGACTCGAAAAAGCCTGGCATCAATGCCGAAGTCCTCGTCTTGAACGACGAAGATGATCCATTCCGTCCGCCTTCTATCCAGGACATCAACCAGCAACAACTCCCTGAGGACGCGAGTGGAATGACCAAGATGGTTAAGGAGGTGCCGGCTACTACGTCCGCTGCTATCAACCCCAAGGCGCCTGCGGGTCCCATCGAGATTCAAGTACCAGGCCAAGCGTCAAGCTCGCGAGCAGTTCCTCTTGCTGCAGTCCGCAGACCTCCGAGTCCTCAACGCATACAGGCAGGCAGAAACGAAGTTGATGATGATCATGCTGTTGAGAACGATTTGACGAAGGTCCAAGCTGTTTTGCGTCTGGGGCGCTCGATCAGTGAGTCCGAAACTTCTCATCACAATGACCTCCATCGCTTGCCATTTGCTTACCATCAAGTACATCTCAAGTTCACCTATGGCGCTCAGCTGCTGCTGGGTTTCTACTTGGATTCCATATTTCGCGCGAGTTTTCCCTTCATCACGTTGGACAAGGGGATCGCAGTGTTTCGCTTGTCTTGTGAGAAACATTCTCCTAGTGTACTACAGCAGTTCATCTACAAGACCTTGACCAAGTGCGGCAATCACTATCAGACGATGCGTTGTGTTGAGTTCTGGAAACTCACTGCTCGCTACTACTTCTATAGTAAGTTTGATCCTCACTTCAACTTCTGGTGCGCGGTGTTCTTTCGTGGAACTCTGCTGCCACCTCGTTCGATCGACGTGGCCAAGATCGTGGAGGTGAAACCTTCGAAGGCGCAGCTGACCATGAACGACTGGTATAAGCGTGGCGAAGACCAGCGTGCGAAGATCAAGGTCCAATCTATCTTGCTCTCTGGTGCTTCTAGTGATAGCGAAGGTGAATCGCACTGGAAATGGATTACGACAGCAGAGAAGAGCGTTCGCAAGATGAGCGAGCAGTTTCAACTGTCGCACCGACGCGATGTCTGGGCTCGTCAGACGCTCTTTCCAGCGGTTCCCGGTCAGTTCGGCTTCGGTCATGACATGGCACCTGTTCGCATCCAGCACTACCGCAATCACATCCGTAACACCACCAATACTACCAAGAAGCGCGAGCGCAAATGGATGTCGGAGAACAAGTTGAAGCCTATTGAACGCACAGCGTACTTCGGTTCACTCGAGAACACCATCCACAAAGAACCACTCTCGGAGGGTACGAAGGTCGTTGCGTCTCAGCTCAAGTCTCGGGTGAAAACGAACCAGCCACGCATCGAGTCTCACCATGCTCGGTACTGGTATCCCAGTCTGCAGCTAGCAACGTACATCAACGACGCCTCTGGGCGTCCTATCAACATCCTCCGCAACCTGCAGGCGCAAGGCCGCCTGGTCGATGTGATGAAGCGTCTCCACTTCTTCCGCAACGAATTTGGTCTGCTCGTCTTCGAAGACCAAGAGACCGCGGGTTTTGTCCTCGTTTTGGAGCTCCTCGAAGGTCTCTATGACGGTATCCGCATGCGACCTGATGGTGCTGGGTATCTTTCGGTCGTCAGTGGCATGGAGTCTCCAATTGTGTCGGGATTCAGTGCTGACTGTGCGTACCTCGCTGATTACTATCCAGTGCATCGCAATGGCAGGCTCAGCTTGTACGTCGCTAACTCCACTTGGGTGCAGTTCAATACCGCCCTGGCTGACTGCGTCGAGGCCTTGCCGTCCAACATGGTGAGCGAGACTTTGGCGTACTACCTGCGTATCGATAAGCCCACTGTCAACCTCGAGGATGAGTTGCGTATCGTGCTGCGTACTGCGCTGGCGGATGGATATGAAGCTGGTTTTGCGGCCTATGATGCTGCCGTGAGTCCTCCAATGCAGTTGCTCGGTCGAGTGATGGACACAGCTGTCCGAGCTGGTGGCGGACGTCCAGCTGGAACCGCCAATCGCGAGCGCACTGCGGCGCAGAAGACGCGCACCTACCTCGGCTACACTCGCCACGACGTGTGGTTTCACATCGAGTGCAAGACCTGCGAAAAGCGAGCTGCGGCCATTCGTAACAGCATCAAGCGTTCTCGCACTGGCAACGTCACTGGGTGTCAGCTCTACACCAACTACGAAAAGGATACGGCACACGGCATCCGTAACAAGAAGCTCCCGAAGGCTCCGCGCACCTTGTGGCCAACTACTACACCAGCACGCATCCGCATCAACGAAGCACTTCTACCCAAGATCAAAGATGCACACAAAGTCATCTGCAAGAAAGCCCGTCTGAATGTCGTCAAGATCACGGCTCGTGGAGACAGGACGAAGATGGTCCTCAACCCAAGCGTGAACAAACCCTACTACGACGCGGTGATGGAGGGTTTCCCAGCGCTGAGCAAGGACGACGAACGCTTCCTCGAACAAGAAGAAGACAAGGATCCAGTGATGTGCACTGCCGTCGACCTTGGCGGGGACGTGGCTGGTGATGATTTGCTAGCTGATGAGTGATTCAGCAGATAGGTTTCTTACTCATTTTGATCATCCAACAGCAACTGACATGCCTCTTACCTTTTCTGAAAAGTTAAGCATTTTCCTTGTATTCTGTTCGTTGCAAATCGCCGGACATGGGGACGTACTGCGTACGTTAGAAAATTTAAGGTAGAACTAAACACATATGGCCGACGCTTCACACTTCGAAGTCTTGCCGGCAGCTTGCTTACGATATTCCATCGAAGTCGTTATATCTTGTACAAAATAAATCATGACTATTCGCACCTGTTTGAAAGAAACAGCTGGAAACTTTTCACCAGCAGCATAAGCGTCAGCATTCAAGGACCAGGGCAGCTTGTCGATAAGCATGTGATGGCACAGTAAATCAGTCGGGATTCGTATTTAGTAAAAGCAGAAGTTCTACCACGAAACTCAAAGGAGTAAAGCCATCACTTTCAAAGCTCCAAGTACCTACTTCATGTAATATTTTGGGTGAACACGCGAACAAGATCATAGTCATATCATAACATAATTCAGAATATAAGTCAGTCACTTCACAAGTGAAAACATCGAGATCATGCGATCTACTAGAGATCTACTCTTATCGGCTTTCGTACTCGATGGAGGTACTCGAGAGCGTGCTTCGGGTTGACATCCTGGCAGCTTCTTCATGCTACAAAGATCGCACTCCGCAACGAAATACTGATCGACCCACGTCGCCATTGGCTTCGTCACATATGAAACGACACTCGGATAAACGTTCAGAGTCTTGCTATCAGGATTGTGCCTTACATGAAGTTTTGCCATGGAATTAAAATTGATGAGCAATAGCTTAGGTGAGGTGACCAATTCGGGAAGCCTCAACTGGATCGGGCTGTTCTGCTTAGGTTCTGAGTATTTTAGTGAGACGATAAAGATGCTGAATCTTGCGGGTGTAGAGTAAGCAAAGTCAACGCTTCAAAATTCGAAACCCTGAAGTTCAGAGGTAAAAGGATGAGATGGGACACATTTCTTAGAGGTAATATAAAGGATGCCTCCTCCCGGATTGTGTCGTTGCAGCCGCCATATGTCGCCGCAAGTCGGCGTATGGTATAATGTACGACCCGGCCAGTGTGTCTGGCTTCGTAATCGTTCTCCGGAGATGCAAGACCATCAGGTCAATCTCTTCCGCCTTATATGGCTCTCCGTTTTTCCTGCGAAAGATGTGGGTTAGGCAGGTACTCTTAAGCTATTTGGGTGGAATAGATTTTCGGGGATGCTCTCCATAGACAAACTGGGCGACTATTGAAAACATTCAGCTTATAAGGCTAGAGCTGCGCTCGTATTCTACTGCGAGCAGGTAGCAGTCATTCTTTCGGAAGTCTATAGATGTGCCTTACTATGCTGGCTGTGACGCCTGCTATTATCCTCTTCTTCCTGTATTTCTTCTTGGGCGTTTTCTCTTGCGCCTTCAGTTTCTTCTTCGATTTTCGGTGCACTAGGTACCCATCAACAGACGTACACTCCTCACCATTTGCAAGGTACATCCAGGCGGACCCCCTCAGAGCTGTCGCGAATTGTGTTCGGAGTTGCATCTCCGTCAAATTATTGGCGCTCGTCGTGTGGGAGCTTGCGAAGCTCTTCTCCAGCTGTGTAGCATCGCATGGTTTTGCCACAAGTCCAGAAGATGGCGAGCTGCGTCTTTGGGCTTAAGCCAGAGCCTCGAATCGTGTAAATCGAACAGCCGATAATTCTCGTTCCTGTTCACGTGGATGAGGAGGTACTCAGATAGATGCTTGTTGCTGCCTATGAGTGTCATGTTGTGGCATGCTTCTTTTTTGGTTATAATTGTACTCTTCACAAACCTTAACCAAGTGGATTTGTTCAAGTTCTCGCTAGCTTTGAACTGAATCGGGAGCCATCTAGTAGTATCCTTAGTCCTCAGCCTCTTAGGACAGACACAAAAGTCAGCACTCATCTCTCCTAGTTTTTTAACGTGTAAATCAACAGAAAATGCATCACGTAGCTCCTGAAAAGCTCTCTCTTCTATCTTCCTTGGCTCTACGCCCATCTTAGTCTATGTCGCTTATTGAATAGCGTGGCTTGTCGCTGTTGGTCATCTGGGTGCCTGGTTTATATTTCGCACAGAGGTGGGCATCTGGATGGCGTAATAGGATAGTCCAGGCGCCTATTAGGATTTGGCTCGCAGGCTTGATGATTCTAATAGTTTCAAGTTGAATGTAGTCAGTGCCTGAGCTCTGATCTGCGTGACTACTGTGGTAGGACCTCGATCGTATTCCTCTTCGATATGATTCATCTTGACCCTGAACCACGTCTCAATATCCTCCAGGAACCTCGCCATTTCCATTCAAGTTGCTCTTTCTGGTGACGTTTTGCCTGGACGTTGTGAGCCCGTTGCGAGGTGGGGCCCAAGTCGTCCAGAACCTCCGGATCCTCCGATTGCTTCCTCTCTGGCTTAACTAGCTAGTTTAACTAGATAATGAACCTAATATCTAGTAGGTATATAGGTCCAAAAACGTCGGATACGATTTTTAAGTAAAAGTAACCATTTACACTTCATATGAATTGTTTTTATTCGCTCGAATACGATGAGAAGTTGAAAGTTGCTAGGCCAGTGCGGTTTCTGCGAACGGGCACTTCAACGTCTGCGAAATTGGGTAGACACTTGCTGGAAGAGGAATTGTTGTTATGGGCACTTTGTGTTTATACTGAAGTCCCAGGCATGTTGATTTTATTTGACGCGGCCATGTTGGGCATAGAAGTAGGTAAAGGTGGCATTCCTCCAGTTGTGGAAGAAGCTGTAGTAATGGAAGAAGAAGATGTAGTAACTTGTCCTCCACCAGGTGCAGGTGCGGTGCTACCCACAGACCCAGAGCCACTAGCACCAATTCCAGATCCAGATCCTCGCTTAGAGAGATGAAGAAAAGGACTAGGTCAGTAACATCTTCATCAGTAAGTAAGTACAATCAAGAAGGAAAGAGACACCCTACTGTTGATACTGAAATGTTAGCTACATCCCATTAGCCACATCCCATACTAGTCGTGAGATGAAATACTCTACTACAACGTTCTAATACTGCAAAGAGGACAGGGCCAGGATAGTTGTCCTTGTCACGAGGTGACTTGTCAAGACGTGACTTGTCCAGACGTGACTTGTCAAGACGTGACTTGTGGTCAAAGTCCAGTCAATCAACACGAACTACAACATGGAGGAAGATGCGATAGAGTTAAGAACGTTTGTTCTGTTGGAAGACATTTGATGACTTTGAAGACGTATCGTCTATTTGGGATTCGACTTTTGAAGACATCGCGTCTCTGCAGGGGTCCCTCGTCAAGTAGCGTCTAATGGAAGTCGGCAGCACGTAACGGAAATCACGTTGGACCAAGAAGATACATGTTTTGTTATGGACAATTTTGTTGTAGCACATCTTCATGAACCTAAAAAGTAGATGTAGACGCTTCCACGCTACTAAAAAGTAGACGGTTTGTTATTAAAAAAAAATTATCATTCCGCTAATTCCCGTGATCCTCGTAGTTTTTTTGGTCTCCTGACCCCCTTTCTGCGGTTATCTAGTGCCTGTTTTCGCGTCGAGAATCCGTCATCAAGTAAGCTTTTTCTTGCCGCACGAGCACGAGGACCTGAGAACTATTCTTCACCCTCCCTTTGCAAGAGAAACGTGATACATGAGGGTGTGAAGCACCTGCTTTTATGCACAGTGCAGTATGAAACGGATGAATCCGAAGTCATGTTTGCGATCGATATTTTTGTGCACGTGACGTCGAGTAGTCCTCCGTGCTCGCGATCGGAAACAAGTACAACTTGCAATAACTACAAGAAGCTCATCTACTTCGCGGGCAGTCCAACAGGTAGACACTCTGTGCCTAGTGACGAGATTGTGACGACGAGTGCCGGTTCTACCTTCATAGAAGGCTGCTCGAGCCCATCAGGGACAGGGAATAAAGATGGAACCGACCAAACTCTGTTATTAAGGCCTGCGTCCTAATGCATCCAGCTTCCGAGGAGCCATCCTAGGAAAGAGGGTTTGTTTTCAAGAGGGTTTTCATGTAGGTTAGACGTCAGTTTAGATGATTTTTCACGTACTATTCGAACAAAGATGTCTCTCAGGATGCGTCTACTTCAATCAGGGTAACATTACTTATCTAATGGTAGTACAACTAGATTCATCTTCCGACAAGTACGCAGACTCTGACTCAGACACCTCGTTATCTGCCCAACACGAGACAACGGACGAATCAATGGGCAGTTCGGATGTTTCCTCCTATCATGATGAGGATTCAGGTCATAGTCCTCACCAGGAATCAACATCAACTTTACTGAATGACCATAAGTTCACGACCGGAGATTACGTTCAGGCACAAAGGCTGAACTCGGACTCCACATTGTCACCCGCTAGCGACTCCTCGGGTGTAGAGTCCTGGGGTGTAGAGTCACCTGTCGCCTTCGACCATCGACAGAAAGATTCCATTAAGATTTGAATGACTCTGTGAATATAAACACGTCATAAGATGGATGAAGATGAGGAATTGCATGAGGGATAGCCATTACAAGATCAGACAGTACTAGCGGCTCTCTTGTACTGTAACTGTAAGAAATAAATGAAAAGCGCAGTAGTTCGTAGTCGAGGTAAAAAGAACATGAAAAGGTACTATCTTTTTGACTTTGACCTACTAATTACGGATCATTTATTCATTTTCTTGAATTCACCAGCTCTAATCCTGGGCCACAAGGCAAAAGCATTTTCTCTTCAGCAAGACCTTCAGCAAGAACTTCCACTTCATCACTAGAAGGTGCATCCGCTTCCACACCCTCCACACCGTTTGATGTGCGCGTAACTTTTTATCGCACGTACGGTACTAGTACTTAAGGACGGTCCTCACGGTTCTTTCCACATATTTTTTACATCGACATTCGTTGTGCAGAATCCATAACCTAACCTAACCTAACCTAACCGTGCCGTTATAGGGGCGCCTTCATGTTCTGAGAAAAAATGTAATGCTCCTGCAACCTTTAAAGTAGAACTATGCCTCGTGCTGACGAACTGTTTCGATTTGCGTTGGAGTACGTGCCCATCGATATCATCGCCATCCTGAACAGTGGTTATTTACGAGATTTGGAATTGGTGTCGAAGCATGTCGTGAATTTTCAGACACTATATGGATACTATTGGTACTATTTTTTCCTCCAAGACTGACACAGACTGGACGGACGATTCAGGCATTCTCCTCGAGGGGACTCGAGGAACTGCAAGGATGGTCTGTCAGTCTCTCGAGGTGGTGAGAAAAGAACACTTCTGAGGCTTTGATAGAGCACTGAGTCTAGCGACACTGCAGACGACTTCTGCGAGAGGAGCTTTTAAAGGGTTTAGGGTTCACCACCACAACAGCAATGACCTAAGCTTCGAGGATTACGTGAAGGCGATGCCGACAACCTTTGCACGCAAGAACGCTCTATTGCAGCTGAGTCATTTCTTAGCAGCTCGACAAGAACCGGTAGACGCAGCCGGAGACCAAGTTCAAGACCGAGGGGGCCCTTCGACTCATGTAGTTAAGGCCGCTTCCCTGAAGCTGAAATTGATTGATATTTTCACTCGTTTCATTCTTTTTTGAATCAGTCTATTTTAGGATGGACTATCTCCTAATATGATGGACCAGATATTAATAGATACGGACGGAGGAAGAGGTCTTGTACCACACATGGACGATTTTAGAGGTTTCGGGTATCTTTAGATTCCTATACGCAATCTATGGGTATGTATAATTATATGCTCTAACTTCGGGGGACAACTCTTATTTGATCTCGACATTTCTGCGACGCGGTTCGTATGGGACGAACAAGATGACAGAGGGGGTACCTTACGGGTTCCCACATTACCTCCTTCACTAGCATCCCTGACTGTTTATGTTATTCGTAGCGTATCATATCGTACTTGGAAGTGGAACCAGAACTGCAACACCGAGCGAAGGAAGGAAGTCAGTGATGTTCGGAGGGATGTAATTCCTTATAACCTCTAAATACAGGAGCTGGAGGCCACTGTGGAGGGATTTCCAGTTTGCAGAAAAGTGATTTTGTCGTATGGGAGGATGAAGAAGAATCATCAAGTGAAGAAGAATCAAGCGAAGTTGATATCGACATGTGTTCTCATTCAGTCGCACCTCCTTATATGGCTAGAAAACCTGGATGATGTCTGATGTGTCTGATGTGTCGTGGAAAGCATGTGTCGTGGCGCCCCTTGATTTTAAGGGAAAGCACGGCCGATCAGGACGCGACAGATCCAGGAAATTTAAGCATTCACTTCTACTTCTACTCCAGGAAATTTAATCATTACTGGCCAGCACTTCTACTCCTACAGAAGTCCTTCTACTAGAACCAGTAGCAAAACATCTGTAGATGAAAGAACAGTAGAGGAAAAAAGGAACAACGGAGACCCAAGAACTCGGACGAAGAACTGGGACTCTTCCAGTAGAAGTAGATCTAGAAGAAGGAGCGCAAGTCGAAGTAGCAAGATCTGGACGTGGGATACCTTTGATGCGTATGAAGAAGGGGAAATCGTCGTAGATATTTACTACAAAGCGTATAGGGTGCTGCCTGCTTCGTAGAAAATTTCGAAACACTACATTTAATTGTATAAGGTTTCCAGCGACGCTCAAACAGGGCGATGAAAAAACATATGTTGTTCTTTATGGGATCATGCAGTAGTGGGAAATCAACATACCATCGTGCCCTTGTTGGACTTAGAGGTTGTAGTCAGTACAGGTTTTTCAAGACTTCAAGTTAGTACTAAAAATCAACAGCTGGTCCTTATATTATTTTATCACTAGAAATAGGCTCTTTATTTTGTGAGGTGCAGGAAGAGCAGTTGTTCTACTGACGACAAGTCAACATCATGAATACTCTGTAGGTAGTGACATAGTCAGCAAATAACATGACATGCGACCGCAAGCTTCCGTCCGCTGGTTGGTTTAGCAATCGAAGATATAGGACGCGCGTTCGTCCATCTGCTATATTCTATGGGCGATCGGATCCTATCCTATGCTGTCTTATCCTATGCTAGCCTCCATTCTAGGAGACAAGTGACATGCTTCTGCAGAAGTGATGAACTTGGTTGCTGAAGGAATGCACAGAAGATGCTGCAAAAATTGACTGAGAGGCTGCAAAAATTGACTCAGTAGATCTTAGGCAATGTAAACTAGCTCTCTACGGCAGGGCAGCTACCAGGACAAACGGTGGCTGTTCCAGGCTCTAATATACTTAGAATGACTGAGTCCTCGATGACTGTGTCACTCGGTAGCCTGTCGTCGCAATAAATGCGAGAACGTGCTATTGCTAGTGCTATTGACTTGTGTTCTGGGGTTGACGAGTGTTGTCGCGAAATAGTACGTCTGTCGCGAAATTATAGAATTAGGTTTCTGGACGAGTTGACGAGTGTGATGAGAAAGGAGTCTATCTGCTGCTTAGTACTGTTCTTGCGAGGGGATAGAGCATTTCTGTTGAGTGTCGTGAGAAAAGAAAGTCTGTCTTTGAGCTAGGAGGGTTGCGAGAGGATAATGCTTTTCTGTTGAGTGTGATGAGAGAAAAGTCTGTGTGTCGCGTTTGTGAGAAAAACAGCACCTCCACATATAGTACTTTCATCCTCACTGTCCGCCCTCACCTTGACGGCTAAACAAGTTAGTGATCGGTCAGATTTCTGGAGAAAACCTAAAACTAAAAGTGGCGTGATGATCAAGTGAAAAAGTCATTATAACTCATTTTTGGGTAATTATGGACGCACTGAATTCCTCATGATCTCAACATCATCCAAACCCCAACATCAAGCAGAAATTCAGTTTTCGCTTTCTTCACCCTTTTTTGGGCCCCGTGGGTGTCTATTTAATTGGTGAAGTCTATCGATAACAATTCTCGCAAACACCCTTCCAGCAATTATTTCCTCGCTCAAGACTTATTGTTCTTTCATACCAATTTTCGCAGTTGTTGACTTACTAGGAGGCTACGTACGAAGACACGACCTTCTACTAGTAGACTACTCGAGCAGGAGAGGACGTCTTACGCTTTCACGGTTTATGAAGGTACACGAGTAGATTACATAAAAACAAACTGAACAATTTCCCATAGTCGACCACATACAAACACACACATCACACAAAAAACGATATACCTCTAAATAGATACATGTTAGAGAGTACTAAAATTTCGACTCATCTTAACGCCGTGATAAGCAATAACGTTCTTCACTTCGTTCCAACTTCTACTTTCACCAGTTAAAACTTGCTAGTGCTCACCAGTGTACAGCTTTTTTGACCCGATTGCACATTTTTTTTTTCGAATAACGGTGCGGCGTTCGTGTTCGTATCAGTCAGTCTTCAACTCAAACGAAGCAATTTAGAGGACCAACCGAGTCTACCGAGAGTTGAAAAAATCTACCAAGACTTCACAAGACTAAACAACTAAGATGACAAGTAACAACTCAGCCTTCACAGGACTAAATACCTAAGATGACAAGTAACAACTAAGACTTCACAAGACTAAACAACTGTAAGACAATAGTGCTTGCTTTCACAAGACTAAATGGCTGAAATAATAACGTCACAAGACTAAATAACTCACAAGACTAAATAACTAAGACAAAAGTTAGTGCTTGCTTTCACAGGACTAAATAACTAAAATATTAACTTCACAAGACTAAAGAATAACTCACAAGACTAAATAGCTAAGACAATAGTGCTCGCTTTCACAGGACTAAATAGCTGAAATAGTAACTTCACAAGACCAAATAACTACGACAATTGTGCTTGCTTTCACAGGACTAAATAACTAAAATAATAACTTCACAAGACTAAATAACTAAGACAATAGTGCTTGCTTTCACAGGACTGAATAACTAAGACTTCACAAGGCTAACAAGGCTTTCACACCAGTAAAAAAAAGTAACGAACAAGCGGCCTGACTACAACTAACTATACCCCACAATTGCTTGGGCACACTACGTACTCCTAACTACTACTACTAGTGTGTGCTACTACTGGCTATTTGCTACTCACTACCAACTTCTCACAAAAAACTTCTTCTCAGATATTGAATTGAATAACTACTACAGTTCTTAGAAAAAGAAACTCGCTCGCTCCTTCGTTTTATCTTTTTCATTATTCTTGTATTGCTATTGCCTATCGATTCTGCACCCAGTGCGTTCCTCACTAGTGGAGACACGAAGTAGGCTCGTCAAACAACATATTGATGACAACTACATTTTTTTTTTCTACTAAACCACCAATACAAATACCATTCACTACAGAGAAATAAATAGTAGAACGAAGCGGCCTAGCAACATTGAGCAGTCAGTGGAGTCCATTGCCCTAATCTATGGTCGTTAAGAACAGCACTAGAAGCAATTACTACAACAGATAATTATTATAAGTTGAAGATAGTTACTCCAAACTATAGTGCTTGAAACGTCACGAGCACGATGGTACACCTCACGAACTACTATGAGAGAATGCTGGCGACGAAGCAGGACAGAATGCAGGCCGTAGAGCAGGACAAAATGCAGGCCGTGAAGCAGGACACAACGCAGGTCGTAGAGCAGGACAGAATGCAGGTCGTAGAGCCGGACAAAATGCAGGTCGTGAAGGAGGACGGAATGCGTCAAGTCGTGAGGCAGGAAAAAACGCAGGTCGTGAAGCAGGACAAAATGCAGGGCGTGAAGCAGGAAAGAGGACGGAGCGAGGACATGCTTAAGAGTTAGAGTTTTCGTCTACTTTTAATTCACAGCCTCTCACTCCAGAGGCATGATTATGTTTATACTTTATCGATCTTGTAGCTATTGAAGTAGTACTCAAGAACAAGAAGCACCATCTTGAAACGTATACTCACCAGCCCTAAGAAGATTCCCTCCCTGAAATCCCCTGCCCAGCAGTTGGAGATGTTGGGCTCTTCTAACATGGTCTCGGTGCTGACGAACAGCGAAGCCGGTTCTACTCAGGACCCAACGACAATACTCACCGCAGGGAACAACAAGGTAGATCTTCAGAATTGTCATGGTCTGTATCATCACTATAAACAGCAACAATTTGTCGTGACAGATATCAATAGCACGAGTAGAACACCTACCACATTATCGAAGAACCTCTTGTCCTTGTCCTCTTCTTTCCAATGGAAAACAAATCTTAAGGTGCTGGCGTGTCCCTATAAGGCAAGCCATCAATTATCATCGCGCCTGATTGCGAACGGGGCCAAGAACAGTATCAACTTCAAAAGCGCCTCCAGTGCGAGCAGCAAGGTAGGCTATGTCTGTACTTCTACTTGTCTGGCCACCTTCGTCTTTGATGTCATCACCCTGATCCACAACATATAGGTAGCAGCTACAACTTGTTACCTTACACCCCGTAAACGCCACCGCCTCTGGATGCGTCTCTCCCTTCCCCTTTTCTTCTCTTTGTTGGACGTACCCCCAGAATCGGAATGGGTTAACTACTACCCCAGCTACTGCTCCTACTACTCCTACCGCTCCTACTACTCCCCCTCCTCCTACTACTACCACTACTACCACTACTACGGCTAACTAACTAACTAACTTACTTAATTACTTACTTTTACTAATATTCTTACTGCTACTACTACTACTGCTAATGCTGCTACTACCTGGCATCATCTGAAAATAAGGCACCAATTGCGAGCCGGTTGACGGTCGCAAGAAAGAACAGGGCCAAGAACGGCATCGGGATCAACTCCAACCAGAAGGGCGGACGGGCTCGCACCTTGCGCGCAGATAAGGTAAAAGAGTAAGGGTAAGCTGATACAAATCAGGGGCATCTTCTGGGGGGCTACTTTATGATATTGTGCTTGATCGTCAGCCTACTTATCAGCTGCGGCGATCCTTAGTCGTAATACCTTTTGGGAAAAAATATCACAGAGGACGCACACGGCACCACTATCAGAGACGAGCACTCGCGTGACACTTAGGCAGAGGCAGAGCGAGGCTGGGCGCCACGCTGTGGCTTGGGTTTATTCATTTTGGTGAGGTCACGCAAACAGGGGCGACCGATAGACACAACACGAAGCCCGCGCGTGCAAAGAGGAGCGCGCGCCGGTTCTTACTTTCAGGCTGTGGCCCTTCCCTCCGAGTTTCTTGCGCCTCGTCTGGGTTCCTGTTCTTACTTCTGCAAAGTCTCGACGATGTGGAGCGCGTTCATGCTTGGGCGTGCTCCAGTTCATCGGGGGCGGCTCGATACTTGCGCACAGTATGGGCCTGCGGCTGTGGCCCCGGTGCTTCTCTTTCTTTGGTCGGTCTCTCGGAGTTTTTCGTCGCCTTTCGTGCGTAACTCTCCAGGTGATTACTTAGAAGCCAGGCGGCGGCTCGCCGCTTGTCTTGGGCCCCCTGCCTTGCATATCCCACACATACCAAGCCAGTGCGAGCTGTGAGTCCAGGTAGAAGCAAAATCAACAAAAGACGCCGCGCCGCAGCTTCTTGAATTTGGACCACGCAGACGCACCGCACGAAACCCACAGCCACCAGGCCCTCGGCTGGCCTCAGGCCGCTGGCCGCTTTGGGTTGGTTCGCTGCTTTGCACAGTCATCCTTCCACGCAAGAGAAAGGCGGAGCGAGCTACCCGATGCCCCTCGCGAGCTTGGGGCCCCTTGTGGACTATAGCGTGAAACCCACACAAGGCCGCCTGGGTGGGCTGCGAGCGGTGCACGCAATCCAATTTGGCGAAGGAGCCGACCGACGCAGACCACAACGCACCCCGGCCCATGCACCCAAAGAAAGCAACAGGGCGGGAGTCGGCTTATCGGCGTGGCGTGGGTTCGTCTTTCTATTGAATCCAAAGCGGGCCCTCTTGGCGGGTCTTGTGTTGCCTTGCTTGTGGTTACTTAGCAGCAGCGCAAATGTGAACGCCCGGCGCGTGTGGATTAGTGGCACGGCGCTAAATCGACACAGGGCTGACTTCTGACGTCAGGCCTCGCGCCGTCGTCCCTCCAAGGTAGTCTGGCCAGGCTTGGGCGGGCTGCTCTGCCTGGTGTCTGCTTAATCATTCAAGACGCAACCACAGCCCGCAACTGTTCCACCCAGGTCGGCGCTGTCTCTTTGGGTTGCAGCTCGTGGGCTTCAGTTGCTGTTTGGGTTTGGTTGCATTGGGTTGGCCCTCTGCCCATTTCGAAGAGAATGAACCAGAAGCCGAACGGGCCACGGTTTGCAGGCTTGTCGCTGCTTGCCTCATGGCCGGAAGCCCACCGGGGGTTAGGCTTCGGGCGATAAAGATAAGGAAGCCACAAAAGGCGCGACCCTTAACGGGGTCACCAAGGGGGGCCGAAATCTTAAGGGGGGCCTTCGTAAGGGGGGGGGCGCAAGGGTATTACAAGGGGGTAGCATAAAATGGACCGTAAGGGTCAGCGTAACGGCCCAAGCTTGGGGCCCAAGGGGGGGGGCGAGGGTCTTATCAGAATAAGGGTAAGCAAATACTTTTTATCTGTTGTCATATATGTTCCAGGGGCCAAGGCCCCCCGGTCTAATTTTTTATTTGGGGCCTTCCCCCCGTGGCCCTTTTTTCTGAGAGACGGCCGGGCGGGAAGGCCTCCAAAAGCCCACCTCCGACCCCTTCCCGCTTCTTGCTTGGACCTTACAGCGCCCCCCTCTCCGTGGCGGTTGAAGCGCCGAAGGCGGGGGGGGGGCAAGGCTTCCGAGGGTGGCAAGGTTTGGCCCCCTCCGGCTAGCTGCGTGCACCTTGCAGGCCTCGCCTCCTTGGCGCGGGTTCTTGACTGGGGGAGTCTCTTGGGAGGCTCTGAGGGAAGCACGCAGGGGGCCAATCCTTACCCCCAATCTCCCTCGCCTCACTTTGGTCCCCCATCCCCCAGGCGTTCGGTGGTGGCGGACCGGACGAGGGCCAAAGGGGCCAGGCCTCGCGACCGTGGCCGCCTCCGGCGGCGTTCCTCTCGCTCTTGGAGGCTGTCCCCCTGATAAGGTCCAAGAGCCGGGTCGCCTGTCGGGTACACGCGGAGAGCCGCCAGGAGCCTCCGGCCCCGCCTTTTGCGGGTTTGGCCCCCGTAGGTCCTTACATGTCACCACCGCGTTAAAAAGGGCGCGTGAACGCCCCCGCCGCTCCATCCACAGGGGGGAAGCCTCCACCCCGGGGGCATGTATATCACTTAGGGCCGGACGGTGCCCCCCCTGTGGTCTGGTCGGTGGTGGCGCGCGCGCACTTTTCCGCGCGGGCATTCGCGGGCTTTAGTTGCGGAAGGCGTCAAAACTTGGCGCGGGCCTCCCCTTAGGCTTCTCGGCGTGTCCATAAGGGGCCTCCTGGCCTCTGGTGACCTTCGCAGGCGGGAGGCCTCTGGGTTAGAAGGCCGCTGAAGGCGGCCACGGTCGCAAGAGCAAGCAAGCTGATGACCAAGGGCCCGGAGAGGTACAGGCTGCACTGCTCAGGGGGTCCAGCCACTCACCAGCCCTTTGCCGCCTTCGGGGGCCTTCCGCTGCCGGCGCACTGCTGTGGCCGCGAAGCCTAGCGGATGCACGTAGGGCACAAGCAGGCACCCGGACGGGGGCGCAGGCGGTCCCTTGGGCCTCTTGTGAGGCCTCTCACCAGCATCGGAGGCCCCTAGGGAACAGCCAGGCAGCCGGAAGGGAGCGGGGGGGGAGGTCGCTTGGCCCCCTTTTGAGGCCCTCCACCCCCGGGGGACGCATTAGGGCGCACGGTAACCCCCCTGCTAGGGGGGTACCATCGCCCCGCGCCTTGGAGCATATTAGCTCTAAGCTGACTACTATGCTCTTACTGTTAGCTCGACCACTACCATAAATTCGGCTACTATGGCTGCGCCACATGATCTAAATTGACTACTACTATTCCTATAGATCGACCTTTAGTGCCACTTATGACACTATCATCTCGCACAACGCAATATAGGTAAAAGGGACCAGAGCGCATACGCGTCAGCGTCTTGAATCTGAAGCCAAGCAAGCGGCGCCCAAACAAGCGGCCCGCCGCAGTTCTGCTCTTAGAAATGATACGGTATTGGCTGATAAAAAGCGTCTTGCTATGCCTCTCTTCATGCTCGGCGCATTCACTCACCCACCCACTCACTCAGTCGCCAGCTAGAGCCGTTGAAAGATGAGCAGGGCTCTTTGCATTGTTGTGTTTTGAGTTTGTTGCTTGGATTAAAGTATCTCTGTCCTGTCGTTTCCAAGCAACGCCAGTGAGTCTAGAAATCGCCAACAATGTACACTAGGTAAAAAGCACCAACAGCAGAGCGCGTCTCCACAGAGCGGCCGTGTCGTCCAAACAAGTGCTGAATATCAGGCGCGGTTCTGCCGCTTTTGGGTCGGCAGCCCTCTGGGTTCAGCAGGGGCCGCAGCGTGTGTTCGTCCTTGGTCTACAGCAGGAAGCCCAGCACGATGCCCCCGCACTTCAGCAACGGTCTTTGGTTATTGCCAGCCAAGCGGAGACGGCTGAAATTATGAGCGGTCTTCTTCCCTTGATTCAAAAAGGCACTTCGCAGCAATGTATCAGATCATCAGGCGCGGCTGCTCTATTGAGAAGTGTACATTTCTACCAAGAAGGAGCTGGCGAAAAGGCTCTGCGTCACGTTAGGAAACCTGCCGACAAGCGTAGCAGCTTCTAGCGTATAGCCCAACAAGACGAGGCTGAGGCAGGGCCCAGGGGCGTGCAGACTAATGAATAGAATGAGACACTATACTGCTACAGTCACTGAGTGACACTACAACCGCGACCACTTATTTAAAAATAAGCAACAGCGGGCGACATAGTCGATGGACCTTATAGGTGAGGCCTCCACTACATTTGCAATAGAATCAATTGATTACTACCAGCTTCTTCGTCTAATTCTATTTCGGCAAGCATCACGAGCAGCGAGGAACGCAACGTCAATACTGATTCGCCTAAGATGAGACTGCGTGGCTCTATGACTTTTCGCCGAATTGACAAGCAGGACGAGTCGCCCAGCCTGGGAGATGATGGGTCGAAGGTAGAGATGGACAACGACAAGAGCAGCAAGAGGAGCAGCACCAAGTCGCCTAACCTGCGTGGGTCTGCAGTTTTTCTCCAAGAAAAGCCGTCGTGTGGGGAGGGTTCTTCCAGTTTTTGTGGCTGTGCTCAAGATGAACTTAGGACACTACAGCGCACTCTTTCTGACTGTCTGACTGCTGAATCAATATGAAGCAGATCAGGCAGATGCGCTCCCCCTGTGAGTAAGTATAACCATCGCCGGCCCCAGTAGTAGCCGCAGTAGCATAGCGTGCAGCACTTGCTTACTTTTCTTGCAAGAACTCCATGTAGCCATGGAGATGCCCTAGGGCAAGCACCATGGACGCCCCTACTTGTAGCTCGTCACGTTTTGCCTTTTTTGGTTCCCATGCCCTTCCTTCGTCTTTCATCCAGTGGCCATTTCTTCTGCGTAGAGTGTCAGTTGTATCTCGAATAGAGTCGATCGTCTTGCGATGTCGTTGGTCTTTAGTTCCTCTAGTGCGGACGCATCAAAGTAAGAACTCTCTTGATTAATCTGCGTCCTCCTAATGAAAGTGAAAGTTTTTATTTCTTGCAAGAACTTCTAAGAATTTGGAAGCAGTGCAGATGCTCTCAACGGCCAACCCGAGGGAAAAGACGGCGCTCCGATTAAGGCTCAGCTGCGTAACTCTAGCCCAGTTTTACAGTATGAGGCATTCATCCCCCGGCTTCTTTCTTAGCGCTAGGGCTAGGAGAAGTAAAGGCGTCGCTCATCTTCGTCACCTTTGGACTGTTCTGCACAAATGTCGCCAGGGAATAACAGGGACAACTGAGTTGCGTGATTGTGTTGTGCTCTAATCAGCGACCTGTGCAAATTCGAGAAGTGGCATCTCATGAAAAAGTGGGACTCGATCATGACAAGGCGGCTCGGCTTCAGCGAGGGCGCGTGCGTAAAAAACCTCGCAGTGGGTGCCTATGTTTATGATGGGACGAGAGAGACGGAGAAGCTTGCAAACGCCTCTAGTATATATGTACTCGAAGTCCTGAGCAAGGCAACAAAGCTGCTAGCTGAAATAGCTGAGCAGCTGCGTCTTACTCTTAGAAGATTATCCTCTGGGACATTCGGGCATTTCAGTTTTTTGTCATCCCCTTGGTTACTCCTTTTTTCTTAGCTATGGTCTGTGCAGCATTGTCATGGCCATGAAGCATTTCTTGGTGTTTCGCTTAGAGGAAGCAATCTAGTCGCTCTGAACTTTTGACCTTCGATAGAGCGGGCCCCATCTAGAAGTCTCGCCCATCGCAGTAGGCACTACGCCGGCAGGCGGAGTAGAATGCTTCAATTATGTCGCCCAGGAGCTGCAATAGGAGGAAGGCCCCCAGCGCTCCTCCTATGAGTATGAGGGCAAGTAGTAGAAGCAGTTGCAAACGCTTCGACACTGGAAGCTTCAAACCTTTCGCGCAAAAGTCGCCGCAGACATTTGAAAAAGCGCTGCTTTTTTGCAAAAAAAGCTGCTTTTTTCAAATGTTGTAAATTTTTTCCAAGCTCGTATCTCGAGAACCACTCCCGAATTGTTCGAATGTATTCGCCAACCTGTTCAAGAGTATTAGTATTTGGAACGCTGTAGGAATTTCATCGAACGCACGAGGGAGGCGCGCTTTTTTTTGCAGCCTTTTGCAGTTTGTCTGACCATAGGAAAGCGAGAGGGCATTCTCGTCTAATCTTTCTTCCGCTACAACGGTATGAACTGGCTCACATCATACACGCCAGAGGTGCAGGCCGTGGATTTTCATGTGTTACCTTAAGGCAAGAACCAAGGCAAGAACCTGGCAGGCTTCTCCTATAGCCCAGCCCCGTGACTGCTGCTACTGCTAGAGACGACAACCTCACGCACAGCGTGGCAATTTTTGGCCATCCGCTCTCAAAGGGAACAAAAGGGCGCGAAGGATGGCGGCGCCGTCACTCCTTTTCTGCCCCCTATGTGAATTCCGGAAGGATAAGTAGAAGCACTACAAAGGGCGTCCGCGATATTCACTTCGCAGGACTGTTACCCCACGAACCTTAAAATAAATAGGGGAAGTGGCTAACTGTATTACCCTAGGTAGATCCCCTTCATCTATCTGATAGGTATAGACCACGAGTGCGAGTAACGGGGGGCCCTACTAATCCTCGGAGGAGTACACTGATATCATCCAGAGCAAGGCCGGCCCCGTGCAGTGGTCAAACATCTTGGACGAGTATGGGCGACTTCTTGCGCTCTCAAAGTCTTCCAAAAGTACGAAACCAGTCGTGAAGCCGCTGCCGTCTAGGTACAGCGCAAGAAATGGCCTTGCGGTGGTTTTCTCGCTCGGTCTAACTATGAAGATTCCGAACGAGTTACAAAATTATGGCTTGCTGAGGTAGAGGCATTCTTTCTATCGATGTTGAGAAATTTTTTTTCAGCGAAGTCTACTGGTCTCTTCGTGGTTGATGAAGTACGCACTTGCTGTTATTTACCAGTCAGCGGGCCGGGCCCCCTCTCCTACGTCGATGGAACGCATTGAGTTCGCCTTGATGAGGGGAAGGCGTGTGGCGTCTATCGTTGTGCCTGGGCTTGTGACTTGATTCGAAGCGCGCGCTTTGCGCTTGTAAATTGATCCAACTACATACAAGCTCCGCGAAGCTGCTCTAAGCGAAGTTTTGCGAGGACGTGGCCCAAAGCGGTGGCAATAGCAAGGCATTTCTGATGCGTCCGATTTTGTGGCTGCTTCGACAGTCCTCCAAGAGCAAGAGTGGCGTCACGCCGACGCAACTGCAAGAGGCCTGCGGTCTTCTCCTTAAGGCTTCCTCGATCATTGGCTCTAGAAGTTAGGTGCGCAGGCTCTTCCCGTTCTCAGTTTGGATCGCCAGCCATAGGGCCTGCTCGGATTGTCTTTGCTTAGGTAGTAGCCTTAGTCTACTATGACTCTAAATTCCTGCCAAAGATCCGGGACTTGATTGCGGAGGGGGCGCAAACAGTGGCGGAGAAAACTGCTGCGATTTTTTTCCCTACGGGGGTGGCGAACTCTCGCCGCATCTATTCCAGTCTCATCGATGGAGCGTTGAATGACTTCAAAAATGCAGGAGAACGAGGAACAACAAAAGCAGGTGAAGTTGTGGCTTTGGCGCTGATCTCTCTCGCTGTTGTTGAGTGAGGTTCTTTATCATGCTAGTTTAAATCCTCACTCTCAATAAAAGCATCTACCTACAACTGCTTCGGCGACTACTTGCGCATCTTTTTCTCATCTTCATACTGTAGGAGAAGCTTGGCCGAGCGAGAACAATAGAAACCACTACTAGGCATCATGAGTAAGCCGCGGCTACGCTACTGCACCAACTGAAATACAGAAGGAAGAACAACGCAGCAACAACGTGGCCAGTCAGTCCTTCTAGCTGTGTTCTTTCGTAGTCCATTCATCTAGATACTTTGGAGCGAGAAAAACCAGTGGACTCACCCTTCTATTCTAAGTAACACGATGCAGCAACGGCGGTGGGCCTTTCAAAGACGGAATTGGCTCTCCAGCAAGATATGAAAGCGCAGACGCTCCATTTGGTCAAGACTGCGGTGAGTGAGGATGGGGGCAGCGCTAGTGCTTTTACGGCTGACCTCGTCGCGAGTGCCATCTAGTCGATACAGTTACAGGCGGGGGGTAACAGTAAGAAGGTGAAGGATCATTCAAATGGAAGCCGTGAGGGCTAGGATTTTGTAACTTGTTCAATGGATTTTGATTCTAGAACGATGTAAATGCGCGAACGTCTTCAGCCTCAGCCATTTCGTCCATTTCTAACAGTTCTTGCTGTGAGCATTGCGGAGTGGCGGGCGTTTATGACCGTCTTGTGCGTCTGTTGTTTCAAAGTGACGCAGGCGCTTTGTATCGCGGCCAGGCCGCGTCTTCATTCATTACGACAAAACAAGAAGGATGGATCGCGAGACAGATTCAGGAGCAAGCCCGGGGCGTAGTTGCGCTGCCAAAGGATACGGATGGGGCGATTGAATCTATACCCGAAAACTTGGCACAATTTGGCTAGAAATTTTGCGAAAAATGCAAAATCTGCAAAAAGTTCTAATGACGGACAGCGCAGCCTGAGGCTGTAAGCCTGTACCTACTCCGCAAAATTCTACCAAAGTCTCCAAGCCAGCCTTGCGACCGGCAGAACGCTGCTGGGGCTTTCGGTCTTAGTCGGCTAGGATCTAGGGCGCGCCGCTCGCAGAATTGTCTGAAGAGAGCTAAGCGCACGCAAAAACAGAAGCCCAGCGAGGAGCGAAATCGCTGGGCAACTCAGTGGGCTTAGTCGGCCCAGCCGATAATGCGCAGGCTGCTGGTCTTCGTTTGGTCTTATGAAGGAGGCCAGACTGTTCGCGCTTCATTTTTAACCTGGTCAAGCTTGTCGCACCTCGACCGCGGGGGGCCCTTTTTTTGCCGGTGTGCCTCGGCTGCTCGGCTTTCCTCGGTCTTGCGTCTTCGCGCGCGACCGTGGGGCCCCCGCTATACGTGGCGGGGGGCAGTGGGTGGCGCACAGAGTTCTGATATGACCGCCGCGCGTTGTTATTCTCATCGGTGTGGTTAGCTAGGGGACTGAGATAGACGAAAATGCAGGACAAAGACAAGGAGAATGGGAGGGGCTGAACCCTCGCCCCTTGAAGAAATGAGACGGAGGGGGAACGCGCATCGTGGTGGACAGAGGTGAAAAAAGTGGGACAGGGATGGGAAGTGGAGGCAAGAGACCCCCGCCCTGCCTTTGACGAAAGAAATGGCACCGAGCTGGAGCACAGGGCGGCGCGAAAGATGGGCGCGAAATCTTCGCGAAGAGTTGCCTCGGCTGGTCTTCGCTGTCTCGGTGTTTGTGAGGATGAAAACGGCGCCGGCGTGGCCTCGGGCGCTTTGTGTTTGTGCTGGCTGTTGTCTCTGTTGTTAGCAGCCCCATCGCCAGGTGGGTGCGGACCGCCCGCACACCATTGGCATCGCCGCCGCCTGGAATGCGGCTGCGGCACACCTGTGCAAGCTCCTCGAGGAGTAGAGTTTCTCGGCGGCGGATAGGATAAACGCAGGCGGGGAAGCAGTGGCAAAGCGGGACGGCGTTGGCCATCTTTCTGCGCTTGGGCGCCTTGGCTGGCTCTTCGTTTTTTTTTCTATTTAAGGAGAGGACCTTGACGAAAAGGCTGCGCAGTCATTCTTTCAGCTGACTCCTCTCGGAGTCTTCTTGAATAGATAACGGCGTGAGGCTCTAGCACTGTCTGCCAAAACTTGTAAACTCACCGCAAATATTCCGCGGAAATTCTGGGGCCTTCGCAGGGATGAGATGGCACCCCGCCCCGCCCGATCGGTGGGCTTGCATCTGTCATCATCATCATCGTCGTCGGGCTTTCGCCTTCCGTGTTTTGTCGATGAAGCCAGACACGGAAGCGGACCGCCAAAACGAAACAAGCCCGCAACAATTTGCAAGGGAACCGCATCAGGCTCCGCGCCTTTCGTCTCTGGTTTTTGTGGTTTGTTACTTATCTGCTTCCCTCTCCAGACTTCGGAGGCCTTTGGTGTTGTGCCTTCGTTTTGGAATTTGGCGGGTGGCTGCGCCGCAGACTGGTTCGCTGGCTTGTGAGTTTCTCGGCGCACTGGAGGGGTTGGCCTGGTCGTGTGTGGGTCGGTTGTGTAGGTTTTGTTTTCGGGGCTCTTGTGGGCTTCGTGTCAATGAGACAAGGACAAGGGCCGCGCGCGTGAGCGTCGGCAACTTTCTGCCAAGATTTTCGGCGGCCGTCGAGCGTGGTCTGCTCCAAAGTACGTAGCGGACCAGCGCAGCTGAGGAAGGTGAAAAGAGTGGGGCCACAGAGAGACACGGAGAGGGCAGTGGAGGACGCGTCTTGTCTCCTTGATGGAGTGGCACAGGGGTGGCGAATTGTGTGGGACTGAGATGATAAAAGTAGGGCAAAAACGGGAAGGGCTGAAGGACTTCGAACCCCCGCCGCTGAAGAGAGGAGACGCGGGCGTGGTGTGTCTAAATCTATCAGTTGGGTGAGGCGAATGAAGTGAGGCAACGTCGGAAAGAGTCAAAGGGGAGGCTTTGGGGCTTCTCCCCTTGGGGAAGTGACTGACTGGCACCGGGGTAAAGCATGGTGGACCATCTAGAGGACGCACGGAAGGGGCGAAGACTAACAGCCGCGCGGCAAAGCCATCCACGAAGAAGCAGAAGCGTGGGGCTTTTTCCCCTCGGACATGCATATAAGTAGATAAGAAGTGAGACGGCGGCAGAGCGTGGCATCGTTAGGGGACAGACCGCGAAAAATGTAAGACAAAACTGAAGAAGAGCACGGGCAAGAAGCGTTGGGCCCTCTTCTTTAACGCAGTGGCACTCGCACTCCCTCGCTGGCCTTTCACCTCCATGGTATGCAGCTGAGACGGAAAAACTGAAAAGGCCCAACGCAACTAAGGAGGCGCTTGGGCTGTGTGTGTTGGTGTTGACCAGGCTGCGCAGGTGTGTGTCGCTGGCAAACAGCTGCGGACATGGGGCTGGCAGCGTGGTCCTGGGGCTCGGCTGGCCGATAACGGTTTGCAACTACAATGGAGCTGGGGCGGGTGCTGATTGTTCTTGGTCTTCGGCCGCTGCGCTTCCACCTGGGCGAGAAGCTGCTGGCGAAGCGGCTCGGCCTCTGTCGTGCCGCCCCAGGGAATTCCCGCTGAGGGGCTCTTTTATTTTGTTATCGGCTGCGTGCCTCCCGTTTCTACCACAGTCCCGCCCATGCAGTTGCAGAAGGAAGACCCAGCGCCCGCAGCTCCAATTCTGCAACGCTCGCGCCGATGGTTCCACGCGGGCGCAAATGAAACGGAAAAGAACGGGGGCGCCCATTTGCTTCGCGCGTGATTATACAAACGCGCGAGTCCTCGGCGAAGTTGAGCAGGGTCTTGGCTTGTCAATTTTGCTGCATTTTGTCGCTTACTTCTAAATGTGTTAGTCTGTTTTTTTTTGCCGCCCGCTTATTCCAGCTTTACTGGCTCTTGCAGTTTCCGCCCTTTGCGATGCTTGTTGTGATTCATTTATGGAAAACCCAGGGCCACTGGGGTGGGCGACATTGGTAAAGCCAAGGCTTTCGACATGCATCCTGATCCGCAGGGCATACGTCTGTAGAGCAGAAAAATAATGAGGCGGGCGGACTCCTCTCCAAATTTTTGGTCAACTTGTGCCAAATTTTCGCACTAGGGACAATCAGCGGACGGATCTAATAAAGGACAAAAAATAACGTACGGCATCTGGGCAGGCGGCATCTTCCTTATTGTTGCTATCGTATATGGCGGTTTGGCGATTGAGGCGGCACGAGGGAATCTGGTGTTGCCGTGGTCGAGTATGTAGAGGAAGTGGAGGAGTGTTGTTCTCTTCTACAACTTCATCTGGCCACCCTTCTTCATAATTGATCTGCATAATTGTAATAGGAAAGGACATACAGCTACGAACTCAACTGCGTAAATATTTATAGACACTCGAATTTATTAGCGACGAACTTCTACCATCTACTTAGTTTAAAAAAGCATATAACAAGAATTAGTAAAGCGTTTTAATGTCCCGCCTCAGCTTCGTGTGATAATTAGCCATGATAAAGACTCTTAATTGAAGGTATTAAAGGAGATAGATCAGATTTTTGCAAGTCTAGAAAGTGACTGCAATTCTGTCACTCCAGCGCCAGCGCTTACTCTGGCAAATAAATATTGCGTCACTAAATTCATTCGCTCACCCCCTCCAGTATGTAGCGAGCATTGTTAGATGTAGGTCGCTACTGTCCGTAGAGTTGGGAGTAACATGAAATGAAGGCCACCGCGAGAAGGTCTTGGGAATAAGTAGACTGAGCATTATAAAAATCGCGGCACGCTATAGCTAGCATATGGCGTCGCAATTGAAAATATAGAAATGGACCGCAGCAATGTAGTGCCGGCGTCGTTGTTATTAGTGTTGGCAGAAGAATACACGGCATCGCGTGGGCTTGCCTTTTCTATCTCTTGCTCTGTTATTACTTTGGGCTTTTTCTACTTCGCGCGCCTTCCACCACAGAGCATTCATTGGGAGAAGGATAGGCAGACCAGGCAGATCCTAGCATCAACAGCGTCAGCTACATGCTGTATCATATTTTTGGCATGTTCATGCACTACGTACGTCACTTGTGTATAATGGCAGTAATTCCGCCAGGCATTTTCGACAGGTGAGCCCCGGAAGGCTGGTAAGGTAGGGAGCGAGAACAACGACCCACCGGGAAGTGCGGAGGCGCACGCGCCACCTGGCTCCCCCAAGGGAGCGGTGGGGGGCGGGTGGGTGAACCCTGCGTGACAAGCAGGAGGGGCCGCAGGCGTCGGCTCTCTGGTCTGTTTTTTTTTTGTTGGGTTTTGTTTCCACCTCTGTCGCCGGTTTATGGGGTTTCGCTTCGGGCCTCTTTTCCACTGCGCCACCCGCTCGCAAGGGGTTCCGCGCGCCAGGGTTCAGCGGCTGGCGCGCGTGTCCTCTGTACCCCCGTCGTGGTTGTTTCGGACCTCTATTCCACTGCGTCACCTGTTCGCAAGGGGTTCCGCGCAGGGCTCGGCGGTGTGTGTGTCTCTGCCTCCGTCGTGACTGTTTCGGGCCTCTATTCCACTGCGTGACCCGTTCGCTGCAAGGGGCCCCGCGTGCTAGGGTAGGTCCTTCGCTTCAGCGGCGCGCGCGTCTATACCCCCGTCCCGTCGTGGTGGGTTTCTTCGGGCCTCTGCGCCGCCCACTCGCGAGGGGTTTTGCGCAGGGTTTGTCGCCGCGCGTGTCTCTACCCCCGTCGTGGCTTTTTCGGGTTCTTATTCGTTCTCACACTGCGCCACCCGTTCGCGAGGAGTCTTGCGCGCCAGGTTTCAGCGGCGTGCGCGTCTTCGCTCCCTCCGTCGTGGCTGTTTCTGCCCGTGAATCATTCCACGGCGCCACCCGTTCGCGAGGGGTTCTGCGCCCGTCGTGATTGTTTCGGGCCTCTACTACACTGCGCCACCCGGCCGCTCGCAAGGGGTTCCGCCCGCGCTGCGCAGGGGTCAGCGGCGTGCGCGTCTCGTCTGGTGCCCCTGTCGTGATTGTCTTGGGCCTCTGTTCCACTGCGCCGCCCAGCGAGCCACCCGCCCGCAGGGGGCTCCGTGAAGGCTTCAGCAGCGCGCCTGCGTGTCTCGCTCTCGATGCCCGGCCCGCCGTCTGTGGTTGTTTCGGGCTTCTGTTCGCAGGGGGTCTCTCGCGCCAAGGTTCTCCAGCGCCGTGCGTGTCTCTACTCGTGCCGTGATTATTTCGGGCGCCCATTCCACTGCGCGCTCCGGCGCTCGCAAGGGGTTCCGCGCAGGGTTCACTAGCGCGGAGCGCGTCCCTACCGTCCCTTCGTCGTGACTTTTTCGGGCCTCTATTTAGTCGCCTGCGCTCATTGCCGCGACCCTTTGGTCGGTGATGACTGACCGACGAAGGGAAGAAGGGACCGCAATCAGATCAAACATTTCCTGCGAAGCGCGATCGCCTGTGTCTGTTTCCACTGGGTCGTATAGTAGAGTAATTTATATAACGGAGTCGGAAGCAAGGTGGATGGATGGGACTTGGGTGGACCGGATGGGCGCCCCTAAGTCTTCTGGCCTTACTTGAAATGGTGAGAAGCCCATCCGACCCACCTTGTCCGGGATCTGACACCCCTCGAAGCTATTCTATTATAGAAAAATAACGGCGACGCAAATGGGATAGCCTTGACTTACAGAACGTGAAGCCAAGCGAAGAAAGCCTTCGCGCCGCATTAAGTAAGTATGTTTGAATATAGTGAGGGGCTTGCTCTGAAAACAAAAGAAGAGAAGTCGATGAAAGACCTAGAAGTAGCTAGCTGTTGGCGGACTGAATGTGAATTCATCATCACGCATCTAAGAAAGAGCGAGCGCGAGGGGCGCGCGTCGATATTAGACTTCTTATGTTTTCTTCTGGTTTTCAGGTATTGCGTCGCGAAGTGTCTTAGGGTAGACTTGCATGCCAGCACGTCTTTCCTTCGATCGGAGTGCTTGCGGGGTGTGTGGTGTTTGATCCCTCACACCTGGGCCCGCCTTAGTGCATAAACTTGGGCCCGGCGCATTCTCCTCGCCCGTAGTCTTGTCTTCCGGACCATCTGAAGAACCAGACTGACTGAAGCTAAGTAACAGCGCGGCGGCCCAACGGATCGCGCAGGTTGTTATAATCTCACTAGATGATCACGATGAAGCGAGTGCGAAACGATGTGATGGGCTTGGCTTTTGGTGTTCAGGTACTACGTCGCGAAGCATCTTAGGATTCGCATCGCGGCACACCTTCCGATAGGGGTGCTTACGGGGTGTGTGGTGTGTCTTTGATCTTTCACACCTGGGCCCGCCTTAGTGCATAAATCTGGGTTTGGCGCATTCTCCTCGCCCAAGGTCTTATCCTCCGCACCAGATGGGGAGAGGCTCGCGCGCTACTTTCATAAAGCCAGTTGCTGTCATACATCAGATCAGCACACTGGAGGTAGATCGGTTTCTTACTACAACTGGCATCAACACACTGCGTGACAACTATGCTGCTTTTATTGCTGCTCCAAGCGATAGCTTTGCGCAGAGTCGACCACAGAGAGATGAGTGTACATCAGAGAGGCGCTTCTCATCCCCTCTCCCCGAATGGGTAAACTACTACTGCGACTCACTAGGGCAGACGTGGCATGATCGGTGGAGAAGGATCGCTGTTGCAGATGTTGTTCTAGCGGATTCATGAAGCGGGGCTCGCGTGAAAGAACAGGGGAAAGCGAAGGGAGAACAACTGGAGAGGTGTGGGGCCCTTCCCGTTCAGAGTCAGTGGCCAAGTACTGCTGCCCTTTATTAAGTACTTATCATGCCAGTCACTGAGCCTGTCAGGGAGTCAGTTTAGCGCTACTAGAGCACTTGCCCAGCCTCACATGATATGAAGGCAAGAATGTTCCCTCACCCTCTACAATAAGGCGATGCTCCCTGTATGGTGGAGGTTCTCCTGTTCCCTCTAGGGTGAAGGTTCTGTTCCCTCTATGAGCGTTCTCCTGTGCTCTCCTGTTCCCTCTCCACGACAAGGTGAAAAATTGAATTTCTCGAAGTACTCATTTCCGCGCAAGACAAGCAAAAGATCAGTTACAACTAGGTTACAACTCATTCTACTTAATTTCTCGATCTAGGTAAAGACTTTGTTACAACGTGCTATGATCTGCAATGCTCTTGATCAAGGTTACAGCGTGCTATGCTCTTCACATGTGATCAAAGAAGATCCGCTTGATGATGGGCAAAGAAGATCTTTAGAGGTGATCAGAGAAGATGCTCTCGATAGAAGTGAAAGCAGCGCTCTTGACCAGAGAAGATCAAAGAAGAAAGGGAGAGCAATCTCCATCGGACCGTTGATCTTTAGAAGGGGTCAAAAGAAGTTGTGCTTGTAGGTATCATTAAAATCACATTAGAAGTCAACATCAAGATGTCCAATCCTTCGTATCATTAGAAGTCAACATGGAGAAAAGAAGAAAGATCCACAACTTAGTACTAATGGAGGTGATGTGTCGATCCAGAGGATGTAGTTGCCCATCCGACATCTCGAATGATCTGAGGATAACCGTCTATCCTTCTCCGTTCAATCTAAGGATTTCCGTCTCGACGCTGCTCTAAGAATCCTTCTTTGATCTTCTACAATCGCCAATCAACAAACTCCAGGAGGATCAGGAGCTCGAGGTGCTGTATCATCTCAAGTTCTCAAGTTCTCATCAACCTAAGGTTCATATAATTTGAATTTGTATTTCGTGACGATGTTACCTTTTTATATTTAACTTGTATTTCGACATCTTGAGGGAGCGTGAAGGGTGAACCAGGAGGTCCATGATCATAATGTTTTATAAAAAGTGAAAGTACTATATTTCGGCATACGGATACGACACAAAAGCTATATCGAGGATTTGTTCAGCGAGTACTATTACATTCATCTTCTACAACTAAATAGATATTTATTCTACTTCAATCATCTTCACATGATTCGAAAGGCAACAAGATGGGCGCAATGAAGAAGGTAATGAAAAAGGCTATGAAAGCCGGGAGCACACCGAAGCAGGCAAAAGCCGCGACTAAAACCGAGACTACATCTACCGAGAAGACTAAAAAAACCGAGACAAAAATGTCTGAGAACAAAAGCCAGGAGGACGACGCCTTGTCTGGTGACGTCGAACAAGCAGAGGACGTTTCTATGACAAGTGACGAGGAAGATGAAGAGGACGAGCAAATGTGTAAAAGCGCGGACGACGAGGAAGATCCTTTCGATGAAGAAGAAGAGGATAGTGACGGAGAAGAGTTGAGCAACGAGGGAGAAGAGGATAGTGAAGAAGAAGAAGAAGATTAAGGCTTGAAAGTTGGCATCTCTATGAGCATCGATCTCTATGGTTTCTCCAAGTAGAAAAGCCATCGATATGCGGGCTAGAGATGCCAACTTTCAACCCCTAAGAAGAAGAAGCAACATCATCTTCGAAGTTGTTAACTACATCATCTTCATCTTCTGAAGAAAGGAAAAAAACGAAAACCTCCTCCGATCAAGATGACAAGGCGGGTGCTCCTGCTCAAGATGACAAGGAGGTTCCCGTTCCAGAAGTTCTTGCTAAGACAGAAGAGCATGAAAAAGATCCCTATCTTCTGAAAGAGCTTACATCAAGAGTGACCCCAACTGGAGGAATAAACAGCGCACCTTGCTTTTCTCAACACGAGGGATCAGCGGGCAACACCGTCATTTGATGGAGGACTTGAAGTTAAGACCTAGCACCTATCGTTATCGACGTAGATAGAATGCATTTGATGACTGATGAGGTAGTAAGAATACCTTTGATGCGTATGAAGAAGGGGAAATCGTGATAAAAATCCTTACAAAGCGTATAGGGTGCTGCCTGCTTCGTAGAAAACTTCGAAACACTACAAAATTGTATAAGGTTTCCAGCGACGCTCAAACAAGGCGACATATGTTCTTTATGGGATCATGCAGTAGTGGGAAATCAACATACCATCGTGCCCTTGTTGGACTTAGGGGTTGTAGTCAGTACAAGTTTTTCAAGATTTCAAGTACGTACTAAAAATCAACAGCTAGATCCATCGTGTATACCATCTATGACGCCCTGAAGGCAGTCTGCGCTGAACTTTGTGCGAGGCAGGTTCTTCACGGAAAATATGTAGGCAGGTTCTTCACGGAACTCGCTCGCGATACAAAAAAAAAACGCGAAAAAATATGCAGGTAGGTTTTGATATATCGGAACTCGCTCGCACTACAAAAAAAAAAAAAGCGAGATTAATTGTATTGTATTGTATTGAGTATATTATTTTATCACTAGAAATAGGCTCTTTATTTTGTGAGGTGCAGGAAGAGCAGTTGTTCTACTGACGACAAGTCAACATCATGCATACTCTGTACGTAGTGACATAGTCAACAAATAACATGACATGCGACCGCAAGCTTCCGTCCGCTGGTTGGTTTAGCAATCGAAGATATACATGACGCGCGTTCGTCCATCTGCTGTATTCTATGGACGATCCCATCCTATCTTATGCTGTCCTATGCTATGCTATCCTACCCTCCAATTTAGGAGACAAGTGACATGCTTCTGCAGAAGTGATGAACTTGGTTGCTGAAGAAGTGCACAGATGATGCTGCAAAAATTGACTGAGAGGCTGCAAAATATGACGCCCTTAAGGCAGTCTGCACTGAACTTTGTGCGAGATTAATTGTATTGTATTGCATCTTAGACAATGTACACTAACTCGCTACGGCAGGGCAGCTATCAGGACAAACGGTGGCTGTTCCAGGCTCTAATAGAGAATGTCTGACGAGTCCTCGATGACTGTGTCATTCGGTAGTCTGTCGCGAAATAATAGAAACAGGTTTCTGAACGAGTTGACGAGTGTGATGAGAAAGGAGTCTATCTGCTGCTTAGCACTGTTCTTGCGAGGGGATAGAGCATTTCTGTTGAGTGTCGTGAGAAAATAAAGTCTGTCTTTGAGCTAGGAGGGTTGCGAGAGGATAATGCTTTTCTGTTGAGTGTGATGAGAGAAAAGTCTGTCTGTCGCGTTTGTGAGAAAAACAGCACCTCCACATATAGTACTTTCATCCTCACTGTCCGCCCTCACCTTTACGGCTAAACAAGTTAGTGATCAGTCAGATTTCTGGAGAAAACCTAAAACTAAAAGTGGCGTGATGATCAAGTGATAAAGTCATTATAACTCATTTTTGGGTGATTATAGACGCAGTGAATTCGTCATGATCTCAACATCATCCAAACCCCAACATCAAGCAGAAATTCTGTTTTCGCTTTCTTCACCCTTTTTTGGGCCCTTGCTGAAGTCTATCGATAACAATTCTCGCAAACACCCTTCCAGCAATTATTTCCCCGCTCAAGACTTATTGTTATTTCATACAAATTTTCGCAGTTGTTGACTTATTACGACGCTACGCACGTAGACACCTTCTACTAGTAGGCTACTCGAGCAGGAGAGGACTTCTTACGCTTTCACGGTTTATGAAGGTACACGAGTAGATTACATCAAAAAAACTGGACAACTTCCCATAGTCGACCACATACAAACACACAGATCTTCACACAAAAAAGGATATACCTCTATACATGTTAGAGAGTACTCAAATTTCGACTCATAGTGACGCTTTTTACCAGCATGGTATTAGGGGTATTTAGCAATAACTTTCTTCATTTCGTTCTCTCTTCTACTTTCATCAGTTAAAACTTGCTAGTGGTCACCAGTGTACAGCTTTTTTGACCCGATTGCACAACTTTTTTTTTCGAATAACGGGTAGGCTTCCGTGTTCGTATCAATCAGTCTTCAACTCGAACGAAGCAATTTAGAGGACCAACCGAGTCTACCGAGAGTTGAAAAAATCTACCAAGACTTCACAAGACTAAACAACTACGATGACAAGTAACAACTAAGACTTCACGAGACTGAATAACTAAGATGACAAGTAAGAACTAAGACTTCACAAGACTAAACAACTAAAACAATAGTGCTTGCTTTTACAGGACGAAATAACTAAAATAATAACTTCACAAGACTAAATGACTCACAAGACTAAATAACTCACAAGACTAAATAACTAAGACAATAGTGCTTGCTCTCACAGGACTAAATAACTAAAATACTAACTTCACAAGACTAAAAAATAACTCACAAGACTAAATAACTAAGACAATAGTGCTTGCTTTCACAGGACTAAATAACTAAGACTTCACAAGGCTAACAAGGCTTTCACACCAGTAAAAAAAAGTAACGAACAAGCGGCCTGACTACAGCTAACTATACCCCACGATTGCTTGGGCACACTACTCGTAACTACTACTACTAGTGCTACTACTGGCTATTTGCTACTCACTACTACTAACTTCTCGTACGCAGGTAGGTTTTGATTTATCGGAACTCGCTCGCACTACAAAAAAAAACTTCTTCTCAGAAATTGAATTGAGTCACTACTTGTTCTTAGAAAAAGAAACTCGCTCGCTCCTTCGTTTTATCTTTTTGATTATTCTTGTATTGCTATTGCCTACCAATTCTGCCCCCAGTGCGCCCCTCACTAGTGGAGACACGAAGTAGACTCGTCAAACAACATATTGATGACAACTACATTTTTTTTTTCTACTAAACCACCAATACAAACACCACTCACTACAAAGAAATAAATAGAAGAACGAAGCGGCCTAGCAAAGTTGAGCAGTCAGTGGAGTCCATTGCTCTAGTCTATGGTCGTTAAGAACAGCACTAGAAGCAATTACTACTTATAATTATTGTACGTTGAATGATAGTTACTCCAAACAACTAGAGATAAAAGCAGCCAGGTGTTAAAATAGTTACTCCAAACGCCACGACTGTTTTTCCAAACTACACTGTACGAACATAATAATAATAATAGTAACATCACTGCAAAAATACAATACAAGATTATACATTCTACTCTATACCGAGCTTGTATTGTATTGTACTCACTGTACTCCAACATGAAGTTGAAGATCATGACCGCCAATGGCGCACGGGGCCACCCCCGGAGGAGGGAGACATGTCTACTGCTCTTGGCCTTTGGTTACACCAACTGGTTACACCAACTGGTGACCGTGGCCTCTGCGGAACAAAAGGATGGCTCAAAACAGCGGAGAGCTGGGTCTTCTGGAGGTAGCAACTATGACTAATACAGGACTACGACTAAATATATTAACCACTATCTGTCGGAGACGTGCCCCCTGATTGGGTTTACCACCACTAATGCTACTACTTCTCCTCCTACTACTAAATATTAATAGAACTACTAGGACTGTAGGACTACAGGACTATGACTAGGTTATAACCTATAGGACTATAATACTGCTTAGGACTGTAGGACTATGGCTATGCCGGAGGTGTACTAAAGTAGATCTGAGGATAGTGATGTGACTTGATTTTTTATCATTCATCAAGGCCAACCTATTGTCCTCATAATAAAGTGCTACCTTGAAGGTAGCACTTTATTATGAGGACAATAGGTTGGCCCCTGTTCTGCTCCTGCCGAGAGCTCTGGGCTGCAGGTGGTGCTTATGGCCCAGAGCCCTGACCACATCCCTCGACTTTATCGGTTAACAACTAAAACGCTACAGGTTGTCCAGCCACTTCCAATCCCCTCTACCACAACTTCCTCTTCGTTTTAGTCAAGGTGCTAGTGCAGGTGTTAGTCTATTCTACGACCTACAATCTAGTGCTCTCATCATTTTTATCATCCATCAAGCAACATGCTCTTCGCCTTCATGCTGCTACTTGATCAGGGACCACCTTCATTCGCCAAGATTGGACTCCTCTCTTCCACATTTATACATCATCCTAAAACTACCAGCAGATGATCGTGGCCAGCACGGCCGCCGCTGGCGACTACGTGGCTCCGCCCGATCACGCAGCTTGCTGTCCTCGCCTCAAGGTCGTGACCATGGTGTGGCTGAGCAGTCGCGAGATGCACCCCCGCGGAGTTCTTCGCACAAGAGGACGTCGAAAAAGATGCTTCGAGGTCGTGTCACTACCATCGCCAGCACTACTTCTACTTCTACTTCTGCTGCTCCGACGACTGCTAGCAACACGAGCACTAGTACCGCCACGACTCCTTCTCCTGATGCTGCTCTTGTTGAAGCGAAGCAGGTGGCTGTAGACGGTCTGGTTGACGGTGTGGTTGTAGAGGTAGTATCTTCATATACAACTTCCGCAGAGGTGAACACACGCAGCAGCAGCTTTGAGCTTGAGCAGCAGCTGGAGAATGGGACTGCATCCGACATCACATACGACTCCAACGTCACGACAGCAGAGTTGCAATCCAACGTCACGACAGCAGAGTTGCAATCCAACGTCACGACAGCAGAGTTGCAATCCAACGTCACGACAGCAGAGTTGCAATCCAACGTCACGACAGCAGAGTTGCAATCCAACGTCACGACAGCAGAGTTGCAATCCAACGTCACGACAGCAGAGTTGCAATCCAACGTGACGCTTTATGGCAACGAGGACACCGTGATCCATCATGGTACAGCTTTTTTGGAGCTGATCTCAGGCAGCCCGTCTCCGGTCTCCGGCGAACCGGTTCTGCACTTGGAACACGCTTTGCTTCAGCGCCCTGCGTTTCCCCCGGGGTCAATCTTGCCAAAGAAGACCCAGAAGGTTATAGCAATTAAGGCAAGAAAAACTCAGTCTAAGTAACTACAAATTAGTTATGTAGAAGATAGTTCATAAGAAATATCTACACTTTTGAAGTTGATAACAAATGACATATTTAGCCTAGTACCTCTCTAACGTGTGGGAGCTCGTTGCGATGGAGAAGCTGTGCGATTGGCGAAGCAAGTATTCGCTCGGGAAATATTTTTTCAACAAAAAGCAGGAAAAGCAAGACTGCAAGACAAGGGCCCAGGGCTTTCGACTTGTGATGGACAACAAGTCCCAGAAAATCTTCATGGTGCAGCCGAAGGTGATTGACCCAAAAGATGGCTCCGCTTCCGTAGTATTGTCCGAGCTACCAGTTGAGTATGCTGCGACCGTAAGGACGTGCAACCTGATGGCGGAGGAAGACCCTGACACCCCTGACGTGAAATCTACGGAGGGCCCGCGCCAGCGACGACTCTACTTAAGGGTCCTCTAGTACTCTTCACTAATTGACTCATCTTTTTACAACAGCGGAGGGACTCATCTCTAGTATTGTAAATTCTTGCACATCGACAAAATCTCTAGTACTATTGCGCAAGAAGAACTTCTATATGGAGTCCTTGAAGAAACTATATAGGGGAGTCGAGCCTACTTTCCTCTTGCGGCCGCGCTATGCTGGGCAGTCTCCTGGGTCATTGGTATATTGCGTTTACTTGGTGTGGTGGAAGTAAAACCTGTAGAATTTTTTCTAGATTTTCTAATTCTCTGGGAGTGCTTGTGGAATGCGTTTTATAAGACGACGGGCTTCTTCAAGAAAATTATGGCTACCGCTGAAGCATGTCCTTAGCACCATGATCGATCCTTGGTTCCTCTTTTTCAAGGGAAAATGAGGCGTCTTCAGAGGATAATGTGGGTCCGTCTCAAGGAAGGTGCGACGTGGTAGCTCTAATAAAAGGGCTGTTGTCCCTCTTCCCAAGTTCATCCATCCAAGTGGTTTCTCTTAAGGTTGGAAGTAATCTTTAGTAACTTTAGTGATACAACTTCACGTGTTCTTTAACTGAAGACTACTTTTTTAAGGTAGATGAATGCAATGTATGATGCCACTCATTGAGGATTGGTAAGTACTATAAGTAAGAAGGTAAGGAGGCGGGAACGACATTCCCCTGTCGACATTCTCAATGAGTGGAAGCATTCAGAGAACATAATAACTTTGGTGGAGCCTGCTGTAGTTACGTAGAAGATAGACCAGATCCTGACTTTGTTGTACTAGAAGCAAGAGAATAAAACCTTTGCTGGTGCCTGCTGTAGCAGTTCTTGACGTCTGTGTGTAGTAGGTGTCTAGGGTGTACTGTTGCAGCACAAGCATGCACTTGCTTTTAGCTTTTTCCTTGCTTATAACTACACTTAGTGAAGAAGGTACTTATATCACTTAGGCTCCCTTCTCACCCTGACCAGTTCCTTTTTAAGGTATTGCATACTAACTTTGGTGGTGCCTGCTGCTGGTAGATGATACTTAGTTCTAGAGCTGTAGCTGTGTTTCCACTTCAATACTTAGTTCTAGAGCTGTGACTGTTCTTCCACTTCAATACTTGTCCACTTTTTCATCGATAATGTGATCAGTTAGCCTTACGCACCACTAGGCCAGCAAGCGTCACTAGCACTAGGTCAGCAAGCGTCGCCAGCACTAGGCCAGCAAGCGTCACGAGCACTACAGGCCAGCAAGCGTCACGAGCACCACAGGCCAGCAAGCGTCACGAGCACTAGGCCAGCAATGGCCAGTAAGATAGGTCCTTGCTGTAGTGCTGTGTCTAGATCCATAGCACTGGCATTCTAGACGCGAGAAGAGCGGGCGTGTAGCTTGTGGAAGATCGGCAAAAAGTAGCAGACCGACTGACCGTGACTCACTTGCGCTCTAATTTTTCCAGGGGTATTCCATAATGGACGGAACAAGCTGGGGAAAGTTTAAGCTACCGCCTCACGCTTTATCTCAGATGATGAAACAAGGAAAAGGCGCCCGCACCGTGGCGAACCTTGTTGGAGGCGCAAAACGGCGGATCATTTATGATACTCTAGATTTAAAAAGTCCATCACTCAGCTACCT